GACCTGATCCTTTCAAATACGTAGGCTTTACGCAGCCTGAGAGAGTTATTTAAACATAAAATAAGCAAACAATAAAATATAGAAAAGGTTTTAGGGATATAATAGATGTTGTAAAGCCCAGCTAACTACTCAAAAACTAACCAATATTTTTACTCCTCGATATAACTCACATTTCCCCATCTATTTTCTACATATTTATTTATTTTTTTTCGCATCGCTACCAGCCGTTTAACACTAACTAAGCTGCTTACTGCCCGGCGACTTCTTTTAAAAACACAACAAAAGGAAAGCGGCCCAAAAAAAAAAAAAATAAATAAAACGAGGAAAATAATGCGAGCTGTCCCTGGGAACAAAAAAAAAGAAAGAAAGCAAAGAAAGGTCCCAGGAAAATGGAAAAAACAGGAGATGGGCTGCGGGCTGTGGACTGTGGGTGGCTCTCAGTGGCTTGGTGGCTTGGTGACTCTTGGTCGTTTGGTGGTTGCATAGGGCGGCGCTTCGGCCAAGTTAAGAAATCAAACAGCTGACATAAATAACATTTTAATTTAAATACGGTGCAGGACACAATATTTTTTTGCCGTTAAGGTAAGCAGAAGGTACAACAATAACAACGGGGGGAAAATACAGCAAAGAAAAAAAAAACGCAAGCAGAAAATACATATTTAAACAGGATCTCATCCTGCGCCCGAGAAGCAAACAAAATTAAACAGGCGAGGGTGTTGTGTGTGCTGCTGCTGCTGCCGCGGGGAAAGGGAGGAGGAAGACGACATTGGGGAAGTAAATTTTATTTTAAAATAAATTTATCGCCTTATCCGTTGTCCACGGCAGCCGCGGCAGGAACAGCCTCAGCTCCTGCCCAGTCATATCCTCACAGAGGGTATTTGTGCTTGCCCAGATTACAGCCGAATTCAATTTATGGACTCGAAAGTACTCGAAAAGTATTTAAAATACAAAGACAAATACATATTTTGGATGGTAGATTCATAAACTGTGCCCAGTTTGGGTGTTTTAGGTAACAAAAGCTAAATTTTGATGTATATTTCATTTGAATTTAATATATAAAATATATTATTTAATTATATATAATTATATATAAACAGGAATCCTGAAACCCAATTTCTTTATTTTTCGATTGAATAAATTTGAAAATATGTCAAAAAGTTATCATACAACAGGATTTTTTAAGGTATCAAAGAAATAAACTCGGAACACTTTCAAGTTTACTTTCCAATAATTAATATTATTTAGATTTATTAATAATAATGAATTAATATTTATTCAGAGTATTCCAAACTTCGATGCAAACTTGCAAAGCTTTTTTCTTTCTATATCTTTTGCTGTATGTTTGCTCCTTTTTTTGGCCCCATAGCGGCAATTGCCGGACAGCCAAGGAACACATGAGCCCGGAGGAATGGGAACTGGGAAACTGGGAACTTGGTGGCCACCCGCTGGCAGCACTGGACAAGGACGAAGAAGACTCCGCGGATGGCAGTGCCGAGCAGAGTCCCAGCACGAGAGCTTCATTTGAACGAAATGAAATCATAATGAGATTTTTGCGTTCGTTTTTTGTCGCCGCAGAGAGTGGCGCCCGGCGTGGGAAGCCATGGGAGTGGGAGTGGGAAATGGTAATGGGATGGTCCGGACGACGGACAAAGTCAACCTGCGGAAGCAGCAATTGCCATTGCCATTGCCATTGCCATGGCGCGTAATGACAAAAATTCATAATTGGATAAAGGAGCGGACGTGTGCCATAAAGTACCAGGAGATCCCGGTGTCCCGGTTCCTGGCTACCAGATTGAAATTCAACAGCTTTTAAAGACGCCTTATAGCTTCTTTTGATAGCTAATCGAATTCTACAAATGTTTATTAGAATAAAAAACAAAGACAAGTGATTCATTTCGAGGGTGTAAGGGGGGGTTTTGCTTATTATATCCTTGCAGGGTATTTATTTTAGTCAAAAGTGTACGATATTTTATTCACATAACTTTAATTGCTTTAAAATAAATCGCTAGCTAACCAGGCTAAATGATGATTACAAAAGCCCCAACGAATCGCGGTTAATATAAACCACAATTTAATGGCATTCCTGGCAATTTGTGTGCGTCCCTCCCCCGCCCCCTAGGACTCGCTTTTCAGGACAGACTTGGCCTTCCCCTCTTCCTTTCCCGTTCTTTGGGGCAATTGTGCACTTGATTGTTAGCGGCTTGTTGGGCAGCCAACAGGCCGGATCATCCCAGGCCCAGGCCCAAGCCCAAGCCATTCGCATACCGACTGCCATATGGCTAACAATATCCCTGTTCCCCCTGTTCCCCCTGTTCCTGCATCCCCCCATTGTTGTTGTTATTGTTGTTAATGCAAATGCCAGGCATTCGAATGCACTGGCGCGTAATCCGCAGCCGGCAATCGAGAGAGGAGAGACTTGAGAATGCACTTGACTCGAAATGAAAGAATCGGAAAAGAGCACACAGAATAAGGCACAAAAAAAAAAAACGAAGGTGGGTCACGCCCTCCAAACCGTCAACAAAAACAAGAGAAAACAACGAAGAGAAAAAAAATATTAAGAAAAACAAAGAAATATAAATCAAGAAAAATACAACAAGAAAAACCACAAAAACAAGAAGCCAATAGAGAAAACAATTGCTGTATAAAAAACACACAAAGGTTGCTTTTATTTATTTACAGAGATTTGATTGGCTCTACTTTCCATAATTTAATGTTTTCTGGTTATTTATTATTTAAAATTTATTCTGAACATTGAATGTAATTTTATTAAACTTTAAATTATAATATTTGAGAAAGCCTACAAAGCAAAATAGTAGATCAGGTGCCTAGAAAAAGTTTTAAACAAATAAATAAACTACAAACATATGTACTTTTCTTATTTCAATTGACAGCGAATGTAATAGAAAATATATAAAAATATTTTAAAATATATAAAAATATTTAAAAATATAAAATAAACAAGAAGAAAAGCCAAACTTTGTCAAGTCAAAGTTTGTTTACTTCTGAGGGTACAATTGGTCCAGAAACCGAATTTTGAATCTATCATAACTAAGCCAAAAATTCATTAATTTCAAATCGGAAAGCAGCACTTTGTTAGTTTTTATTAGTATAAAATATTTGCATACTTAACTAAAAAATTTTAAAAATATTTTTTTTTTTTAATTTTTGATAGTAAAACTATGTGAAATATTGAAAAAAAAAAAAATTTTTTAATTTTCGTCCGACATTCCTAGAAAGATTCCCCTGTTGATGCTGATCAAGAATATATATGATTTATAGGGTCGGAAATTGTTCCTTCACTAAATAAAATCATAAAACCCCTTAAGAATATCTAAAATATTCACTTTCTTTGAATAAATATTTTTAGATATTTTAAATGTTAATTTTTTTAATTAAAAAAAGCATAACAAAGCCAAAAAAGCATCAAATTTAAATCGGAAAGCTTTTCTATGCTAGTTTTTTCAAAATTAACAAATCTGTATACTGAATTTTAAATTTTAAGAAATTAAAATTTTTTTCATTTTTTTTTAAGGAACTTAAACAAATTTTAGGCCCTTAAAAAACCGGAAAAAATCGCCAATCATTTTTTTCCTCCGGGAATAGCTAGATCGACTCGGTTTTTTGTGCTGATCAAGAATATATATGATTTATAGGGTCGGAAATGACTCCTTCACTAAATAAAATCATAAATACCCTTTAAGAAGAATATATTTGAATTCTTTAAATGGATATTTATCCATATTTTTAAATGATCATTTTTTAGAAATATAAATTCTTTTAAAAATATCATTATTATCAGCAAAAACAAGCATAAAATAATAATAATAAAATCATTAGGAAGATAATGAGCAGATATCACAGAAAAATCAAGGAGACTAACCAATCAGAGAGGGAACCTAGACAAATGTGAGTACACAAAGTCTACATTTTTCAGCTTAAAGATCTGGTTAATTAAGTTAAACCCCTGATAAAATGTTGACAAAAATGTAAAACATTGCCTGTTGATGCTGATGAAGAATATTTATAATTTATGGAATCGGAAATGACTCCTTCACTAGCGTTTAAATGAAATTATGATACCCTGCAAGCGTATACAAATGTATCTTTAGCTACTTGGGGATATTGTTATATTTAGGGATTTCAGAATTATGGTTTTCATTTAATCTCCTGTCTGCAAATTCCGATCATTCCGATCAACCCTTTCTTTTTAAAATTCCACAGTTAATGTCTGCTGCATTTTCAATGTGTATTTAATCGTGTTGAATAACTGAATTTGGCACTGCCTTTGCGTCCGTCTGCTGTCATTGGGTAATTGTATTAACTACAGATGTAGCCCGTACATACTGTACAAGATCGAGGGGAGCTGCTAGATGCTAGCTGGGAGCTGGTAGAAGGAGCAGCATCAGCTGCCACAACTAATTAGCTGGGGACCCACATGCATAGGCAAGCTGCGTTAATGGAGTGCGTAATGGGTTAATTTTGGCCCAGCAATTCCCCCTCACACACTCTCTCTCTCTCTCTCCGCCGACTGTCAATGTTTGCACTTTTGTTTAGCAAGGACAGGCCAATGGGTGGTGGTTGGTGGGTGGTTCTGCGTGTCGACGTGTCGACGTCACAGTCAGCCTAAGTCGGATTCTGGATTCTGGCTTCTGGATACCGAATTCAGATTCAGCAGCAGGCAAAGTCGCGCTCTGACGACAAGTTAATCACATCGTGTCCAATCAGGCGAGCTAATCCCTCTGACAGGCATCGACACTGCCTCATCCCTAGACTCATCCCCAATGCCTACTTTGATATTCCACTAGCCGGCAGTGTGGCACCAAGAGTCCCATGACTTTGGTAACTATTTTGGCAGAGTTAACTTTAGTTTTCACGTAAAAGAATATATGTTTAAGAATTATATCTATCATGCCTTGGAATACAAATTTATTCAATATTTTTAAACACAACTCGTTACTTCCCAAAAAACTCGCTACTTTTTCATTTTTCCCAAGCGTTTTTTGTCAATAAAAAAACCCCAAAAAAATACATAAATAAATCATAAAAATGACAAAATTAATAAAGCTCGTGTCTTCTCAAAATGAGATCTTTGTAGTGCCCCAAGCCATAATAAAATGCTCGGGAATAATCTCGCTTTTCTGTGAAGACGACGACAACGACGAGTTGGAGGAGGAACCCTTGCCCCTGCCCAATGTAAGCTCATATATTTTGGAAAAGGTCCTCACATGGGCCATGTATCACTACGAGGTCAAGGAAACCACAGACTGGGATGCCGACTTTCTAAATATGGACACGTGCACGCTGATTGCTTTGGTGGCTGCAGCCGATTACCTGGACATACCGGATCTATGGGGACTTGGTTGCAAGGCGGTGGCCAATCTAACGATGGACAACAGCAACGACAGTGCAGAGAGTTCGCGGCAAATCTAGAAATTGGTATAAACTCCAACAATCCAACAATCTCCAACAATCCATAATCCCATATATATGTGCACCTACAGCTCTTGTTGTTTTTACAGCCTTCCAGGGTATTCTAATGTTTTCTATATTAGTTCTTTTTCATTTAAAATTGCCAATGTAAATTTAAACTTAATTGTAAACTATTTCGGAAACTAAATTAATTGTATTTTGTATTCGTTGTTTTTGGACTTTTGGTTTCCTTGGTCTAAAAGTTTTTCCAACTCCTCCCTGGAGAAAGCGTATTCAAAGTTCTGATTGACACTCGGCTGTCTTGATTATTATTACTATTATGGATGTAAAACCTCGCAACAGCTGCTGCATATCAATTTGTGGCCTGATCCATGTCACAAACTTCTCTGTCTCTCTCTGCTTTTTTATATTTCCTTTTCTTTTGGGTTATTGGACGGACTTTGGCCTAAGCCCGGTTCCGGACATTGGCAATTTGCATTTGTCGATTCCACCAACATCATCGACATTTCCTAGTGGCCAATTATCGCTTAAGCTGGCTGTGCTCCACTTTTGCTGCCTTTTTCGGAGGCTTCAAAGTTTAGATGGGACACGGGGATTCTCCGTTGGCCTGAGCCAGTTTAAAAATTCGTTTAAATTCCATTGCCGAAAGTGGCCTGTTGTCCCTTGTTTGGTTTGAAAAAAAAAAGAAAGTCAAAAGCAAAAGCAAAGTGAAGAAAATAAAGGCTGGGAAAATATGCAGGAACCGCGAAATTGAAATTTTGGCTTCGCCTGGTGGCGGCTTCTTTGCATTGTTTGGAATTGGGAACTGGGAACTGGGATTGGGGGTTAAGGGATGGCTGGCTCAATGGCTCACCCACCTGATCCTAAGTAAATACAAGGACAAGCGCTTCATGCATGTGACTCTGACTCTAACTCTGGCTATATATTTTTATTCCCTTTTTTAATTAAATGAAACCAGAGGAATTGACCCAAAATGCAGAATAAATAAATATTTTACGGGGTTTTGGTTGCTCCTTTTCGTGTTTTTCTGTTTTCGTTAATAATTATTTTCACAAAAGGAGGTGGAAAGAATTCAAAAGATGCCGCCGCACATAGCCATTGTTTACTGTAAAAACAAAGCCGAAACGCGGCCAAAGGAATGAGAGAAAAAGGGGGTAGCGAGGAAAAAAATAAAAACAACAATAAATATTTCACCTTCAATAAATCATTTTCCCATTTTTTGCTGCTGCCCAACAGCAAATCCCCTTTACACCTTCCACAGAAACGGAAACAGAAAAAAATACAAGCAAGAAAAAAGGGTTTCTTGTCAACCCCAAAAGAGGGGAAACCCCTTTTGTTGTCCTTAAAAAACACAACAAAATTAAATCGAAAATATGTTTAAATAAATGTTTAAAAATAACATTAAGAGAGATGACTAAAAGCAGAGAATGTTTTGCCTAAATATGCATAAATTTTACATTAAAAATATGCATTTAAGCCACATTTTAGTTTAAATGCATATTTTTAATGTCAAAATTAAGCATAAAATAGTGAAATATATAAAAACTAATAGAGGAAATTAAGAAAATTGGAAAAACCCCAAGGGTAACCCTTTTTGTTGTCCTTAAAACGCAACAAAATTTATTTAAATAAATTTTTAAAAATAAAATTAAGAGAGATGACTAAAAACAGAGAATATTTCGCCTAAATATCCATAAATTTTACATTAAAAATATGCATTTAAGCCAAATTAAGGTCATTTTGTGCCTTAAATGCATATTTTTAATGTAAAAATAAAACATAAAATAATAAAATTTGTTAAAAACTAATAGAAGAAGCTATTTTCTGGCATAAATCTGCTCTAAAATGACACTATCTCCACCTAGAACCTAGAATTATCCTGCATATTTCCTTTACCAACTGCAGGCAGCAAGTGAGGGGACACCTCCTCCATCTCTCCGTATGGCTATGGCTACTTGGTAACACATATCAATTTGGCTTGGACAGGAGAGGAGTTTGCTGGCTGGACTTTGTTTGTTTGCTGGCTGATAAATTGGCACTCAAGTGGATTAAAATTGTTTGCAGCTAAAATAAATCTCTGTGTGGCTACGGACGACATTAGTCGGGGAGGCGGAAAAGGTAACTTCCTATAGAAAATTTCTCAGTTTTTTTTTTTTTTAATATCCTCATCAGCAGCCTGACTTCAAAGAGCCCTCTGCTTATTAGAGCTCAACGACGACGATGGCATTTTTTGGGCGCATTTTTCAAGAGCCGCTGTGCTTTCCACTGGGGTCATCAGCATTTTTATTCCGTTTTACAACTTTCAAGTTTCGTTTTTCGTTTTGTTTTGCTTTTGAGCTTCTTTTTTTATTCGCAGGGCCTTAAATATTTCTCATGCATACTTAAAATTGTCTAAAAATTAACATATTACTATAATCGTCGATGCTACCGCTCTTTGTACGCATTCTGTGTGCTGGCGAGACCTTGGGCCCGATCCAAGCCAGTCGCCGCCATCCTAGAGACATGGCAGCCAAGGCCAATGGCTAGCTACCTCATATTTCGATCCAGTTCGGCTGGATATATATCTATATAAACATCTATCTATATCTATCTGCCTCAAACTAAGCAAAGTTCTCGCGGTGCGACTTAATGTGCCTTGTCATTGACAGCCAGTAGTCCAGCTGTCGACGCCTGCCTCTTGCCAAATTAAACTATTAAGCCGCCGCGCACAGTGGGCTTAAGATAAATTCAAATTTGAGATTTTTAGTCTTAGATTTTCAACTTGATTTTAGTAATTTCAAAAAAGACCCTAAGTATTTGTACATTTTAATAATAATAATAATAAACATAATCACTTACCCCCATCCATTATCCATTATCCATTATTATATTTGTATTAATTATTAATCTTTCATAAAAACGACGAAAATTAGCAGAGTTATAAATAGTAGATGTAGATAAAGCCATTAGCTGTGAGCTGTGCAATCCCTGCGAACAAAAAGAGAACATAATTAACAAAGTATTCTATGGCCAAGATGAGATCATCAACAGACCGCCTGGGTCTTTCTACACATACAATACCCATGATAATCAATTAAACACACAACAATACATAATTGGTATAGGGACACACCTAAGACCACGGTGCTGTTTTTTTCGGCCTGATCTTTTTGGCCAAATTTGCGCAGTGTTCCAAAATGAAACTTCAGCATGTGAAGCTGATGTCGATGCTTGATGGCGATGTTGGATGCTGATTACGATGCTAAGTGGCTAAAGCAGAAATCGATGCGTATCAAGTAGGCCATAAAATACTCTATAGGTTGTAATTTAAACAGAAAAAAAAACAAAGAAAATCTTTAAAACTAAACACTATTTAGAAAAATTATTTTAAAAATATTATATACACGTTCCAGACTTTTAACAAGGCAAAAAACCAAACCTAGCCAACGGAATCCCCTTTGCCAAGTACCCCGATCGAGCGTTAATGGAAATATATGCGGAATTAATGAGCTAAGAGACGGGACAAGAGCGAAAAAATTCGGTAAACAAGTTCGCTGCAGGTCAGAGTCGCCGTTGAACGATGATGATGTGTTGTAATCTTAAAACTACCAGCGCTGTGCAGCCGAGAAATCAGTCTCAACTTGGACTACACAATGACAAGTGTTGGACGCGCAACGTGGCTCTGTTTCAGCCTCTGCCTGGTGGTGGTGCTGCTACCCTGCGAGGGTCGCAACTCGCAGAGCCTGCACGTGCGCCTCCCGCACGGAGGCTGGCTGATCGGACGGCATCTCACCACCCACAACGGGCAGCCCATGCGGGCCTTTATGGGCGTGCCCTATGCGGAGCCACCGCTGGGCGAGCTTCGCTTCCGTCCCCCGGTGGCGGCCTCCGCCTGGCAGGGCGAGCGTCTGGCCGTAAAGGATGCCCCAATCTGTCTGCAGCGCGATCCCTTCCGTCGCGACACCCTCATCGAGGGCAGCGAGGACTGTCTGTATCTGAATGTCTATACGCCGGGCTCGAGGTCGCGCATCAATGCCTCGCTGCCGGTAATGGTTTGGTTCCATGGCGGCGGCTGGCAATGTGGCTCCGGGATCAGTAGCTTCTACGGACCGGACTTTCTGCTGGACCACGACATTGTCCTCGTGTCGGCCAACTTTCGCCTGGGACCGCTGGGCTTCCTCAGCACCGAGACTTTGGACTGTCCCGGCAACAATGGACTCAAGGATCAGGTGGAGGTGCTCCGCTGGGTGCGTTCCAATATCGAAGCCTTTGGCGGCGATCCCGGCAGTGTCACCGTCTTTGGGGAGAGTGCCGGCGGTGCGAGTGTCACCTATCACATGCTCTCGCCCAAGTCACGCGGCCTCCTGCATCGCGGCATCGCCCAGTCGGGCACCTACTTCAATCCGTGGGCCCAGCCCGCCCACAAAGGTGTGGCAGCGGGACGGGCCGAGAAGCTGGCCAAGCTGGTGGGCTGCGGTGGTGGTGACTCCTCGTGGGAGGAGAAGTTGAAGTGCCTGCGGCAAAGGCCAGCCGATGACATTGTGGCGTCCTTGTACGACATGTTTGTAAGTTTTTTTTGTATTTTTCTTAAAATTTCATGGGGTTTTCCTTGAAAAAATCATTTCATATTATTTTATCTCCTAAAAAACATTACTTTTCATCTAAAAACCCACTTTTAAATCGCATTTCTCAAGATTTGTTGTTATTTAAACTATTGTTTCTTACAAAATCTTCAAAAGAGAATGTAAAAATGCCCCTAAAAAGTCAAAGATCATTGTTAAATGTAACAAAATCCCTAAAGATTAAGCATATTTGGGCCACAATAAGTATAGTACAATGCAGTGATATAGAAAGTGTATAAATTAAGTCCAAGCTCTTACCTCTTCTTTCAACGGCAGGTCTGGGACTTTGATCCGATGATACCCTTCCCGCCGGTCATTGAGCCTGACCACGAGGGCGCCTTCTTGACGGTGCCACCGCGTCAAGCCCTGCAGCCGCATGGCCTGGAGCTGCCTCTCATGATAGGCGCCACCGCCGAGGAGGGGCTCCTCAAGACGGCCGCCTTGCTCAATCTTCCCCAGCTGATGGCCGAGTTTAAGTCGCAGTTTGGACAGGTTTTGCCAGTGGTTCTCAATTACGATCATCATGACGAAGGAGTGCAGAGGAGGATAACCCAACGCATCGAGAGCTTCTACTTCAAGCAGGGTCACGACTACAGCAAGGCAAATCACCAGAATCTGACCGATGTGAGTTCTATATAACCTGGAAAATAGAGAAAACAATGGGTATTAGAAAGGGTTTACAAAGTAGAAGAGCGAGCAGTTGTGGCTTTAGTTTTCTATAAAATTTGAATTTATAAACCTATTACGTGGCTGTACTTGTACAGTTTGTCTGTACTTGCGCTGCAATCTAGTAATGACTTTTATGACTAGAATTTTACATCAGCAGCTGGCTAATTAATCAGTAATTAAAATAGCAAGAAGTTTTTGCATGAATCAAGCGTAGGTTGCTATAAAAATTAGACCTAGTTTATGAGACATTAACTGAAAAACTTGCAGGGAAAATGAGGCATACTTAGTGGAGAGACTTAAGTCTTAGTAAGCAATCTTAAATCTTAATAAAACTGGTCCTACTTTAGCTCATATCGGATGGCTGGTTTGTGGCTGGAATCGACGAGTACATGAGGCTTCGCCTGAACCAGCCGCAGGACGCCGTTGTGGCTCCCACATATGTGTACCTGTTCGATCACAAGGGCGCCGCCAGCTTCTCGGAGATCTTCAAGGGCGAGCGCAACGAATTCTATGGCGCCTGTCATGCCGAGGAGCTGCAATATCTGTTCCCCATTGGCCGGGAGCTGTTCGTCAGTGCAGTGCCCACGCCTCAGGATCTGCAGCTGCGCCAACTGATGCTGCAACTTTGGGTTAGCTTTGCACGCACCGGGTAAGTACAGTCCCAGCTAAGCGAACTCCTCTTCTTGCAAAACAAACTCACATGAATCATATTTTCAGCAATCCAAATCCCACAAATGCCAGCTTCAGTCTGCCCACCTGGCGTCCGGCGTACAGTTATCCGGTGGAGTATGCTCGCCTTGGCACCAAAATGGACGCCGAGGACGCCGAGGAGGCGGCGTCTCTTTTGCGCCTGGAAAGCTCCTTAATGCAGCAGCGCGTTGACTTTTGGAGCGAACTGCAGGCGCATCTGCCTGCCACCAGTCGTGCACACAACGAGCTGTAGCCCAATAAGTCTATTTTAATGTGTTTTTTTGTGTAATTTTCGTTTAATACATCGCTGTACGCGTTAGCGTCCTTTTCCTTTTTTGTCGCGAAACTAACGGGGCTTTTGGGGTGGCCAGATCGCTGATCGTTGGCTATCGGCGATCTTTTCTAGCTATTTCTAGCTATTCCACTTCAGGGGGAAAAATACCAAAGCCTAGCTGTTTCTAGCTATTTTTATTCATCGGGAAAAATACCAAACTAAAGTGAGATTGAATACACTTGAAAAAATATGAATACAAAATATAAATAAGATGCAAGTAAATATATAAATAGAATATGCTGATTTATTTAGCCTTGCATAATTATAGTTTTAGACAGATAAAGGAGTCACCCCATAAATAATATTCTTTTTTATAAGCTAAATCGATTTAGCTTTGTTTGCCAGATAAATACAATTTCACAATTTTATTCCAAATTTTTTAAGGGCTCACATCGTTAAAATTGTTAAAAATTAAATAAAAAAAAAAATTATAACTAGAATATATAAATATATATTTTGACAAAAGCAAAATGACAAACTATGGATGTAATGCATATAATTTATGTTTTAATTTTGTTTACAAAAATTAATATTTATTTAACAATATGATATACAAAATATAAATATATAATAAATACAAAATAATTAAATATAGCATTTCATTGTCATTTTTCTGCCGATCTGGCAGCCTTGTCATTAAAACAGCGTTGCCGCAAGTTTTTTTCTAAACAAATCAATAAGAAAAACAAAAAGGCAGTGAAACGTTAGTCTATATATAGAAAAAGGGAAGAAAAACAGATGCTAAAACGCCTTTATTGTTGTCCGAAATCAAGTGAATTTGTGTGGCCACTGCGAGAGAGAAACCAGTAACGGTCTATCGATAGTCAAGGGCCCAGCTGATGCGTGTTGATTTATAACTGTAAATATTCGTATCAGGAGGAGAGGAATTACCCCTGGCACTTGAATTTCGTTAGATTAGTCATGTACGTCGTGGGCCAAAGTCTTGCGCCGTGGTTATCTCTCTGCTGCTTTAAGTGATTGCGCCGCAGTGATTGGATCCATTTCCTCCTCCTCGTTAGAAAACCACGCGCTCCCCCGCAAACCTTTTTCTAATTGCCCAACGATAACGAGTTGCACAAATAAACACACAAACAACCAACAGGCAGGGCACGGGTTAATGGATTTTCTGTTTACGCCCGGGGATTCGGATCGAGAGTGATAAGCTAAGCCAGCAGGGAATCTCAGTGAAAGGCCAGTCATGTCCACAAACGGATCAGCAGCAGGAGCAGCAAAGCCCATCGACATTAGCGTTCGGCTGCCGCCCCATGAGCGCCTCGCCTCGCTGGACAAGAGCATGCCACCGGCATCGCCCACGCTGCCCAGTCCCACCATTCGGCGGAACAAGAGCGATGGCAAGCTGATGGCCCAGGATGTGAAGGAGGCGCGAGTGAAGGTCATCTACACGGGCGGCACCATTGGCATGGTGCGAAACGATCGGAATGGTAAGGGGTTTCAATAGCGATTTCTTTCGATAATTTAGATTACTGAGAAAAATATGAATGAAATTAATTTTAAGACAATTATTAATGTTTTATAGTCATTCTTTTAATTACTACATTTTTTTAAATTAATTTTCAACGTTAAAATAACTTAGTTAACTTAAACATTGACTTTTTCTTTATCAAGTCACTTGATTTTTGTCAGTGTATTAATTAGGACTGTGATGCCAGCAGGCAAACATTAAACTTGAGAATCGTAAGTGGAAAAGATGATGCAAGAATTTGGAGGCTGTTTGGTAATAAGGGTACACTTGTTGTTGTTGAAAAAACCTTATAATCAAAAGCATAAAGCTACGTAAAGGTTTTTACTATCTTAAAATGATTTTTATATATTTATCATACATGTGAAATACGGAAATTCCCCCTTTTTTTTGTACCTAGGAGAGGTCCCAAAATAAACCTAGATAAAGAAAATGATACCGAAATTTATCAGGGTGAAAATTGATTGAAAACGAAATGACTGCGCATATTTCATAATAATAAATGTACATATGTCTATATGTAATAATTTAATTTAATAATTAAAATATTTTTGTAATATTTGCAGTGCCAAAAAATTATTAAAAAATATGAAATAATTATGGATTTATCCCAAATTTTTCGCAGTGCTTGCACCCATACCCAACGCCCTAGTCCGCAGCATTCGCAGCTATCCAAACATCCATGACGAGGCCTACGCGCTGCGTCGCTTTGGAGCTTCGGCCTCGATGGCTCCTTTGGTTCTGCCCTTTGTCCAGGGCCTGGACCGTAGGATTCTCTACCAGATCACAGAATACACGCCGCTGCTGGACAGCAGCAATATGACGATGAATGACTGGGCGCGCATAGCCAGCGATATACAGGTGAGGGAATCCCCAAAGAGAGAGAGAAACCCTGCCACTTTTAATATTCCAAACTCCTGCAGCAATCGTACGAGTTCTTCGATGGATTCGTGGTGCTCCATGGCACCGATACGCTGTCCTATACCGCCTCGGCCCTGTCTTTCATGCTGGAGAATCTCGGCAAGACGGTGATCATCACGGGCTCCCAGATACCGATCTTTGAGACGCGCACCGATGGCAAGGACAACTTCACCTCGGCGCTGATCATAGCCGGCAACTATGTGATACCCGAGGTGTGCATCTTCTTTGGCCACAAACTGATGCGCGGCAATCGGACGGTGAAGGTCAGCTCGAATGCCCTGGACGCCTTCGATTCGCCGAATGTGCCGCCGCTGGCCACGATCGGCATCGATGTGAATGTGGACTACCGCATGATCTTCCGGCCGTGCAGCATCGAGCGGTTTTGCGTTCACCTGAAGCTGGACGAGAATGTGGGTCTGTTGCGCATCTTCCCCAGCATTTCGCTGGCCACCTTCCGAGCCTTCCTGGCGCCGCCGCTCAAGGGTGTCGTCCTGCAGTCCTTTGGCTCCGGCAATATCCCATCGAACCGCAAGGATCTGATTGATGAACTGCGGGCAGCCGACGAGCGTGGAGTCATCATCATCAATTGTACCCAATGCCCCAATGGCTCGGTGGCGGAAATCTACGACACGGGCAAGGTCCTGTGCGATGTGGGCGTGATTCCCGGCTACGATATGACCCCGGAGGCGGCGCTATCCAAGCTGGCCTATGTCATTGGCAAGGAGGAGTGGCCGCTGGAGGTCAAGAAGCAGGTGAATAAGAGCAAACTTTTGAATTTCCCCCTAAATTAAGGCCTCCCTTTTGTGACCTTAGATGATGCAATCGAATCTACGAGGCGAACTGACCGCCGTGACGGCTCCCAAGATGGAGGACTATGATCTGGTGGACGCTGTGGCCCGTTCCCTGCATTTGTCCTCGCCCCAGGAGCTGGACCAGCTGGGTGCCACCCTCTTTCCGGCCATGGTCAATGCCGCCGTCGAAGAGGGCGACCTAAAGAAGATCAACAACCTGAAGGCCTATGGTGCCGATCTGTCCGGGACGAATCATGACCAGCGGACGGCTTTGCATCTGGCCTGCCAGTTGGGCAGCGTGGAGATTGTCAAGTATCTGCTGCACAACGGCGTCTCGGTGCATGCCCGCGATCGCTACGATCGGACACCGCTCCTGGAGGCGGTGTCCACCGATAGCCACGAGATCATCCAGCTGCTGATCAACTGTGGCGCCCATTTGACCGGCTCTTCGCGTGCCGTCGGCGAGCAGCTGTGCGCGGCAGCGGCTCGGGGTTCGCTGGTCCGCCTGAAGTCGTATCAATATGCTGGCGCCGATCTTGCCCAGGCGGATCCCTCGGGACGGACGGTGTTGCATGTGGCGGCCCTGCATGGCCATCCGGAGGTGGTGGAGTATGTCCTGCCGTATTTCGAGAATCCCCAAGAGAAGGACATGCTGGGGCTGAGTGCCTGGGATTATGCGGAGCGAGGTGGTGGTCATCCGGCGGTCATGGAGCTGCTCAAAAGCAGGGAATAATGTTTACTTTGAATTGGAAAGTCTCCTGTTTTGTAAAGATTCTTTTTTTAAAGGTTGTTACTTATGTTTTGAGCATCTAGTCTGAAGGTTCCTCAACTTGTTATATGTATACTCCTCCGTACTGTATTGTGTATTAATCTTTAAAAGTAGCTTAAATGTGTTTAATTGTTTAATTAACTCAGGCCCATGTTGATTTTTGTGTTGATATTCAAGTTACAGATGAAGCATTTGTATTTCTCATATGAAATAATACATAAACTTGTATTTTGAAACAGGTGACCTTTGCCTAAACTTAAAAATAAAGGAAACAACGAATAAATACCTTAAATATATGTTCCTCATTATTTTGCACTTGAAGAAAATAATGTGCGGGTTGTGTAAATAAATCCCAAAAATACAAATAATTACCATTTAAAAATATCTATAAATATTTATTAAAAGAAAGTGAATATTTTAGATATTCTTCAGGGGGTTTTATGATTTTAATCAGTGAAGGACTCATTTCCGACCCTATAAACCATATATATTCTTGATCAGCACAAAAAACCGAATCGATCTAGCCATGTCCGGAAGAAAATTATTTTTTTTTAATTTTTTTTCGATTTTTATTTTGTTAAATTCAAATAAAAAAAAATCAAAATTTTTATTTTTCTAAAAATTAAAATTTAGTATGCAGATTTGTTAATATAGAAAAAACTAGCTTAGAAAAGCTTTCCGAAATAAATTTAATGCTTTTTTTGATTAGTTATAGGTTTTTAAATTTTGATTTATCCAAACAATTATCCTAAACTAATATAGAACATTTTTGATTCAAAGAATGCGTTTATTTTTTAATTTATATATTTTTTTTTAAATTTATTTTCTTGTTATTTAATTATTTAATTTATGTAATTGTGGTTTAAATATCAGCTGTGGTTTGTGTATCAGCTGTGTTTAGTATATTTCTTAGGGGGAAAACCAAATTGATCTGGCAACACTGCCCAGTAGTGGTTGCGCCAGCCCTGGTTTCGATTTGTTTTTACGCCTGGGCCCAAAGGCATTAATTAGAATTGGTAAATATATATATATGAAATCGCAGCCGGAACAGCGATCTATAGCCGATGGGAAGCCTGTACGATCGAGTTGCCAGCGATTAGGCCGTAACACACGGGCTGTGGATACCAGGAAAAAACATCACACGCACGGACACACACACGTACACGTATACAAAACAGAGGCTGCCGCACGCACACCAGCGCGCAGGCAGAGCGGACAGGGGACGACGTGCACACGTCAGTGCCACGAATTGGCAAAATGAAAAGCGAAAACAACGAATAGCCGAGAGACTTGCGAAGATCTGCGGAGATTTCAGGCGGAGATTAAGCTTCAAGCCCAAAACCCAAATGGTAAACAAAGGCCACTGTGCTCCTCTCGTTGCAGTCAATGTCGATAGCTAGCGCTGCGCAGCCCCCGAAAGCCACACGACTAGATTGGATATATCAACGCCATCGTTCTGCGACCAGATAGCCAGTCCTCCCTCCTAGTTTTAGGTTTTTTTTAGTCTTTGTAGATTTTTTTGTGTTTTTTTTTTGTGTTTTTTTGGTTGTTTTGCACGGCTTAGACCCTAGTTAGAAAAGTTTATACGCAAATTTAGTTATAAATTGAACGAACGAGCGATGGCGGAAGAGGCTGCATCTTCGGCCACGGACACGGCGGCTGCCTTGGAGACTCTATACGACTTTTCCATCGTTCAGGTAAGCCTCTTTGGAGCTGTGACAGAGCTTGTAATTCCATGCTTTTCTTTACTTTCGGCAGCCGCAGCATCACGAATACGAAGGCGAGGCAGATATACACTTAACGGGCAGCTCCAGTGACCTGTCCACGTTACAGGTGAGTGGGTCCAGTCCAAGATTTAGCGGCTCCAGCTAGACTTCATCCTTTTCCCCCATCCATTTCCTGCCTAGAATGTCTCTGCTGGCACAACGACGACGACGACCACGACGACGACAAGGAGCAAGGGACGCCTGGACAGCCTCAAGGAGAACATGTTTAAGCAACAGGTAAGCCCCGAATCCTCTACAGAGACTCAAAAGTCAACCTAATCCTTGATCTCTCCCCCTCCAGGAACGCCTAACTGCCTTAAAGGAGCGCGCGCGGCAATCCCAGGACGACAGACGACGCCATGACTTCATGGAGACCTCGCTGCTGCCCAGTCGCCCCACCGATGCCTCCACACCCTTGGCCACGCCCAACAAGGACAAGCCTGCGGTGCCCTCACCGGATGTCTCTGGTTTCCAGAGCTCCAGCGGCAACGAGAAGCTCCTCATGCTGACCCAACGCACGGAGCAGACCAGAGCCCTGATAGAGCAGCGCAAGCGGGACATGGCCAAGTCGCTGCTCTCCGTGAGGACGCTGAGAACTAGCGTGAGCGGCGGCACTGGCTCTGGTCCCGAACTAGGCGCTGGCTCCTCCATGACGGACCTGAGGCAGGTGGCGGCCACACCCGTTTCCCGTCATCGTTCCGCCTTGGATTTGGAGGCCCAGGGACGAGGCCAGGAGCCGGTAGGACTGGACGAGAACCATGTAAAGATGCTCAAGAGCCGCATGAAGCTAACTGAGCTTAAGCAGAGCCGGCAAGAGCAGGAGCTGCAGGAGCAGCGCGCGGAGCTAGAACGTCGCGCCCACCTCATCGAGCAGCTGGAACTGTCCGGTGCCGAGCTGCAGCGCACGCTCACCCAGCGGAACGCGGAACTGGAGCAACTGCGACTTAGCCAGGGGGAGCAGGGGGAAAGCAACAGCCTGCAGGAGCAGGAGAACTCTCGCCTGCAGGCCGAGGTCCTGGCGATGAGAGAACGCCTCACAGAGCTGGAGAACATCAACGACCTGCTGGAGACGACACGCAGCGAGCTCCAGGAGGAGCTGAGCGCAGCTCGGGAAAGGGAGCGAGAGCGAGAGAGAGAGAGGGAGAAGGAGAAAGAAACCCAGCCGGAGGAGGTCACCTCGACTGATGCCCAGGTGAGCCAGGAACTGGCCAAACAGCTGCAAGAGCTTAGCCACAAGCAGGCCGAACTGCTGGCCGTCAACGAGGAGCTGCGACGGGCGGCGGCCGCCCAACAGAAGCTAAGCATCAGCGATGCCAGTGTATCCCAGCGTCTCGATGAACTGGAGGCCACCATAGCCACCCAAGTCTCCCAAATGGCCGAACAGAGCGAGGAGCTGGCGGAGAAGACGACGGAGCTCAATGTGCTGAATGTCAACCTGCGCCTCCTCGAGGAGAAGCTGGCCCAGAGCAGTCGCAAGAGCAAGCCGCTCTTCCTCGACGATCCCGCGGAGCGGCTGCCGGAGGAGGAGCTGCAGCAGCTGAAGCAGAAGCTGGACGAGGCCAACAAGGCCAACATCAAGCTGAAGCTCAAGTGCAAGCAGACGGAGAAGCAGCTGCAGCGGCTGCAGTCCGAGGAGGGGCAGCAGCAGCTCCTGGCGAAGCTCTCCTCGGAGAACGAGGAACTGCAGCAGAGGATAACGGTGTTGGAGGATGAAAAGGGCCAGTGGCAGCTGGCCAGCATGGAAAGATCACAGCAGGAAGAGCAGGAGCAGCATCAGCAGGAACCAACGAATCCCTCCCACCTGGAGGCCATCCGCCTGTTGGAGGAGCAAAAACTGGAGCTCCAGCAGGCCCTGGAGGCTCTGCAGCAGGGCCACGAGTCTGCCCGCGTCGAGTCCGAGCTGAGCGAGGCCCAGCTAGAGGAGCAGCAGCTGGCGCAACGCGTCCAGCAGCTGGAGAGCGAGGCCCAGGAGCAGCGCCAGCAGCTGGAGACCCTGCAGGACGAGAAGCAGGCGCTGGACAAGAAGCTCTCGCACTACATCAGCGAGAACATGGAGCTGCTGGACAAGCTGGAGAAGCTCAGCTCGTCCAGTTCCGCCGAGTCCATAGAGATTGTGGAGCGCCAGCAGCTGGAGGAGCCGGAGCAGGAGCACCAGCAGCAGCCCAGTCAGGTGAGCGAGCTCACCCAAACCGATCAGGACGACCAAGAGACCCTCGCCCAGCTGAGGGAGCGCCTGGAGCTCTTCACCCAGGAGCGCGGCGAGGTCCTCGACAAGCTGGAGCACCTCTCGGCGGAGAATGCCCAGCTGCAGCTGCGCCTGGACGAGAGCTCCGCCGCCCTGCAGCTCCTCCAGCGCGAGCGAGACCGCGAGCGCGAAAGGGATCTGCTTTCCTCCACCTCCACCTCCTCGAATCTCTCACAGGAGCTGAGCTCCATGCAACGCTCCTCGGAGGTGGTGGCCACCCTAGATGCCGGTGACGCGCCCGTTCTCCTGGACAAGTGTGAAAAGTCACTAAGCAAGCTCAACTCGGAGCTGGAGGCCTATCGTCGGGCCAACGACCGCCAGGCCAAGATCAACGTGGCCAAGAAGCTGGCCAAGGAGGCCAAGAACTGCCACACGCAGCTCAGCGAGCTCCTGCACAAGGTCAAGGAGGCCAGCACGGCGGTGGAGACGGTTACGGTCGTGGAGACCGTGGTGGCAGTAACGGCGCCCAATGGCAAGGCCCTGGCCGAGTACGAGCAGCTGACTGCCCAGAATGCGGAGCTCAAGGCTGAGATCACGCGCCTGACCAGGGAGCTGGAGGAGTTGCGGGAACGGGAAAGCTATCCCGAGAGGGAGTCCCTGCTGGCCATAGAAACCAGCTCTGCCCCTCAGGAGGAGGAATTCCTGCACCTCCAGTCCCTCTTGGAGGACTCTCGCAACGCCCAGGCGGAGCAGCAGGAGGAGATCCGGGAGCTGCGAGAAAGCCAAGCCCGTCTAAGGGACGAGGTCAGGCAGCACCAGGTTCAGGCCCTAGAAGCCAGCTCTGCGCCTCAGGAGGAGGAATTCCTGCACATCCAGTCCCTCTTGGAGGACTCCCGCAACGCCCAGGCGGAGCAGCTGGAGGAGATTCGGGAGCTGCGAGAAAGCCAAGCCCGTCTAAGGGACGAGGTCTCGCAGCACCAGCTGCAGGCGGAGCAGTTCGATCAGCAGCTGAATGCCAAGGAAATGGGCCACGAGAAGCAGTTGGAGCAGTTCACCCGCCTGCGTCGGGAGCTGGAGTCGCGCAACGAGTCCCTGGAGGGGGAGCTGAGCATCTTGCAGGCTCTGGTGGCCGAACAGAAGCAGCAGCTCATCGAGAACCTCGGCGAGAGCGAGCACAATCTTAATCTGAAGATGCTGGAGCTGCAGGCGGCCCAGGAGGAGCTGCAGGAGCTGAGGAGGGTCCACGAGCAGGATCCTAGTCCCGAGCAACTTAGAGAGGCCCTGAGGATCAGCAAGAGTCTGGCCGCCCAGCAGGTGAGCGAACTGGGCGCCCGCCAGGAGACCATCGATGCGTTGAACCAGCAGATCCAAGAGCTGTGCCAGGGCCTGGAGCAGACGCGCCAGGAGGAGCAGCACAAGAGCCGCGAGCTGCGAGAGAAGCTCAAGAAGTATGCCCTCAATCTCAAGAAGCGCGCCCAGGAGAATGGCGAGCTGGAGGAGAAGGTAAAGGAGCTGGAGGAGAAGCTAAAGGAGCAGCAGCAGCAGGAGCAGATAAAGGAACCCTCAGTGGATGTGGAGCAACTGCAGCAGCAGGTCAGCAAGCTCAGCGAGGAGCTCAAGGCCAAGATCCATGTGAATCTTGAGAATCGAGATGCACTGCGTCACCTCAAGCAGCAGCTCCAGGAGCAGGAGCAGCTCCTTGACCAGCGCCAGGCCGAGCTCCAGGCAGCCAGTCTCGAAAACAAGGAGCTGCGACGCGAGCGTCAAGAGGCCGAGCAGGAGGTCTTCCAGCAGGGCCAAGAGGTGGCCAGGCTCTCCGCGGAGCTAACCCAGCTGCAGCACCAGCTGGCCGAGCAGCAGCCCCTCCTGGAGGATCTGCGCCGCCAGCTGGAGTCCAAGTCCACCAAGTTTGACAAATCCAAGGAGCTGATCAAGCATCGCAATGCCACCATTCAGTCGCTGCAGCGGGAGCTCCAGCAGCTGCGCCAGAACCAGCCCGACTTGGAGCAGCTGCGCGAGGAGAAGGAAGCCGAGGTGAGAAGTGAATAGGTTCCCTTTTTTTGTTTATTAATTTATTTAATCCCTGCTCTACAGATTGCTGTCCTTCGCCAACAGACCCTGGAGGCGACGATACCTTCGGCCACGGCCTCGGCCACTGAGGAGGAGCTCAATCACCTGCGCGTCCAACTGACGGCCGCCCAGGAGCAGCACTCGCTGCTGGGCCAGCAGTATACCCGCGACAAGGCCAACTTTGAGGCCACCATCGCCCGGCTGAACACCATCCACGAGGGCATCCAGGCCAAGCTGCAGGAGGACGCCTCCTACATTGAGTCGCTGGAGACGCAGAACGCCGCGCTGCAGGCGAGGAGCTCCTCCCTTGAGGAGCAGGCCGCCAGCCAGGCTAATTGCCAGGCCGAGGCCGAGGATCTGGCGCAGAGCCTGCAGCAGCAGCTCAAGGATCAGAGCGAGCAGGCGGAGCAGCAGCTCCAGATGGACCAGCAGCTGCAGCGGCGCCTTCAAGAGCTCGGCCAGAGGGAGGAGGAGCAGCGCCACCAGTTGGCAGAGGTTAGCCGCGAGGCCGAGGATTCGCGAGAACAATTGGCCAGCCTGCGCAGGGACCATGAGGTACTCCAGGCGCGGCATGCCCAGCTGACGGCCAGCGCCCAGGCAGAGCGAGAGCAACTGAGCCACCACAGTCAGGAGGAGCTGGCCGAGCTGCAGCAGCACCTGGCCACCAAGGAGGCGGAGCTGCAGCGCCAGCGCCAGGTATACGATGCCAAGCTGGCGGCCAAGACGACGGAGCTGGACGAGTTGGAGTGTGAGCTCAGTGCGCATGCCGAGCGAGCCACCAACGAGACGCGCGAGCTGCACCAGCAGCTGGAGCGGACTCAGGAGCAGCTGGGCCAGCGCACCGAGGAGCTGCAGCGCCAGGGCGAGGATCTCCAAGAGCTGGAGCGCGAGGTGAACCTGCTGAGGCTGCACCAGGCCAGCTCCGAGCAGGATGTCCTCGAGCTCCAGGAGCTGCGCATGCAGGTCATCCAGGACAAGACGGAGGCGGACAACCTGCGCTCCCAGATCGACGCCCTCTGCGCCAATCACAGCCAGGAGCTGCAGGCTCTGCAGCAGCAGATCGCCGAGCTGGACACTTTGGGCCAGAACCAGACCGACGACCAGGTCTACATCGAGACGGAGAACAAGCGGCTGACGGAGCAGCTGAGCGAGCTGCAGGCCCAGCTGGCTAGACAGCTGCCAGTGCCGCTGCCGCTGGAGCCTCCTCCTGCCCTCCATCACCACCTGACTATGCCGGCTCCCGCCTCCCTCTTCTTTGGCAACGATGCCGCCCTGGCCGCTCCCTCGCCCTTTGACGAGCTCGTGGCCCAGCCCCTGAGGGTGGCTCCCACGCAGGCTGCGGCGCCCGCTCTGGATGCTTCGGCCACCATTGAGGATCTGCAGCGAAACGTTTCCGACCTGGAGAAGCATGCCCAGGATCTGGAGACCAAGCTCTTGGCGCGCAACCAGACCCTGGCCGAGCAGGAGGAGCGACGCCTGCAGCTGGAGCGGCGCCTCAACGAGCTGGAACAGGAGCTCAGGGAGAGGGATGAGCGGGAGCGCCTGGCCGCCATGGAGAGGCTGATACAACCTGCGGCGCCGCCTGCTCCTACCGCTGCCCCAACGCTGGACATGTTCTTTGGAGAGACAACAACAAGCAGAGATCTGGGCCTGCCCCAGTTAGAGCCCGTCGAGGAGCCACTCATCGAGCCCAAAAAGGCGTATTTGTGCCAGCCAAAGCAGGAACAACCGACCCTTGATTTTAGCTTGGACGAGGATCCCTGGGGCGAGGCCGAGGTGGCTCCGGTGGAGCAGCTGCAGCAGCAGCAGCAGCCCCTGCAGGCCAGGATAGCTCAATTGGAGCAGCAGCTGACCACCGCTGAGCAGCAAAAGGCGGAGCTGCAAACGAAAACCGCCAAGCTGATGAAGCGCCTCAAGGAGTACAAGACCAAAGCAACGACGCCTACCACTTCCGCTCCCGCTCCCGCTCCTTTGGCCCTGGACAACGACCTGGACACGGCCATTATCGAGGAACTGAAGCATCAGCTGCAGCTCCACGAGTCCCGCCAGGCCAAGGCCGAGGAGCAGCTGCAGCAGCATCTGCTGGAGAAGGAGAAGCTGGCGAAGCGCATCGATGTCCTCACAGCGGGCAATGAGCGGATGGCGGAGCTTAAGGAGCGCCAGGACATGGATGTGCAGATGTATCAGGCGCGCATACGAGAGCTTCAGGCGAAGGTCAGCCAGCTGGATCAGTGGGGGGAGGAGGCGAGCACCACAGCAGAGGCTGCTCCAGCTCCAACTCCATCTTCCAGCTCTCCTCCCTCCGAGGAGCTGAGGAACCTGCAGGCTGAGAACCAGGAGCTGAATGCCGAGTGTCAGGATCTGCAGGAGCGGCTAAAGGAAGAGCGTCGTCTGGTCCTGCTGGCAGAGGAAACGGCCGCCCAGGTGCAGGCTCAGTGGGAGCAGGTGCGGGAGCAGCTGCGGGAGCGCGAGCAGGAGCAACTGGAGCAGCAGCAGGCACAGGAGGCGGTCAAGCGTGAGCTGCAGGATGAGCTGAGCCGGCTAATGAGCTGCCAGGCTGAGGCTCAGGCGGAACTTGAGTACCTGAGAGCTGGCCAGAAGCAGAAGGAGCAGCAGCAGCCGCAGAGTGAGCAGGACCAGGAGCCGTTGAGGAGCCTCCGAGCGGAGGTGGAGCACCTGAGGAGCCTTCAGCCTGAAGTGGAGCACCTGAGGAGCCTTCAGCCAGAAGTGGAACACCTGAGGAGCCTCCAAACGGAGGTAGAGCACCTTCGACTCGTTCAGCAGGAGCTGGAACCCCTGAGGAACCTTCAGGGCGAAGTGGAGCACCTCCGAGCCCTGAAACTCCAGCAGGACAGCTGTCAGCAGCAGCTCCAAGCAGAGCTCCAGCAACTGCAGCTCCAGCTCGCCCAACTGGAAGCTCAGCGCTCTCGCGACCAGGCCGAACTGGAGGCAATGCGTCTGGGTCAGAGCCATGACCATCAGGAGCACGATGAGCACCAGGCCCAGTTGCAGGAAAAGGAGTCGGAAATCGTGCACCTGAAGCAGCGCATCGAGGAGCTGATGCGCGAGGATCAAACGGAGAAGCTGGTCTTTGAGATTCTAACCAAGAACCAGGAGCTCCAGATGCTGCGCATGCAGATCAAGCGACTGGAGGAGGACCGCGAGGAGGAGGAGCAGTCACCGAGCACCACCTCCGTCTCCTCCACCGAACAGCAGCTCCTTGCCCAGTGCCAGCAGCTGCAGCAGGAGAAGTCCGACATGGAGGAGGAGCTGCGCGTGCTCAACAATCATGTCCTCAGCAGTCTAGAGCTGGAGGATAAGATGAAGCAGACGCTGCTGCAGCTGGACACCAAGGACATCGAGATCACCGAGCTGCGTCGCTCTTTGGAGCTGATGCAGCACGGCGCCGCCCAGCAGCAGCAGCTCCCTGACCTGGCCACCATCAATCAGCAGTGGGAGCAGGTCGTGGAGCAAAAGTGCAGCGAGGTGGCCAGCGTCTGGCAGGAGCATCTCGTCCAGCGGGAGGCTGCCTTCAAGGCGCAGCTGGAGGAGATCAGCCAGCAGTCGCAGACGCAGTTCCAGTCCCAGAGTGTGACATCCCCTGGCGACGACATCATGGCAAAGATGCAGAAAGCTCTGGAAACCCAGGAAATGGAGATTGTGACGCTCAAGGAGCAGCTGGCCATACGGTCGGCGGAGTATGCCCGCCTGGCCGCCCAGTACGATCCCTTCCGGCTGCAGAATCGTTCTGGTGGTGGTGGTGGTAACCCATCTTCCTCGGCCCAGGCAGGCGGACCGCCGTCGCTGAGCAGCGGCGAGCCGCAGGGCGAGTATGTTCTAAAGGCGGACCTGGACTATGCCCTGATGATGCTCCACCAGCGGGATATGCGCGTGGAGGAGATGATTGTGGAGCTGGTGCAGCTGCTCGAGGAGCGGGATCACCTGCAGCTGAAGCTATCGGACACGTTACGCCAGCTGGAGGCGGAAAGGAGTCGCGTCAGCGATGAAGGTGAGTAGCAGCGAAGGTTCTCTAAAGGATTAAGCCCATCTCTTTCTTCTCCCGCAGCCTCCTTTGGCACTCCCAGCCAGCAGAGCAGTGCGGCGAGCAGCAGCGGCGGCGAATCCCAGCAGCAGCAGCCTCTGGTAGTGGCAGCAGGAGCAGCCACCGCTGGCAGCAGTGACCTGAAGCAGAAGTGAGTCTTCCCTAAGATATAATTAGTTCCCCTTTTACAAAATCCTGATTACCTTCTTCCAGGCTGGCCGAGCTTCAGACGGTGAAGCATTCCAAGGACAAGGCCATTGTGGATGAGCGCGAGCAGCGCCTCCAGCAAATGCTACAGCTGCAAAAGGACATGGCCAAGCAGGCGGCGGTACCACAGCAAGTGCCTTCGCAACCGCCGCCGCCGCCAGCCATCGGCGTGGATCCTAGTGAGTGGATGCGACCCTAAAGAGGACATCGAGAAACAAATCCAAAAAACACATCCAATAATCTGCAGCCCGCTCGCCTTCGACGATGCTCATGGACTGGATATTGGGCAGTAGCAGCAATCCAATTAGCGAAGCTCTAGAGGATCAGGAGCAGGACTAACCATAGCAATCACTACTTAAATCTTCAATCAGCCTTCCCCTGCGTACCTTGGCTAGCTAAAGAGAATGAGAAGGAGAAAAGGAAGCTCTTCCCCCGTTTTCCACCAGAATTCCCCATTTTATGTTGTAGATATGTAAAAATTGTATAAAAAAAAGGCAAAAAAAAAAAAAAAGAAACAAACAAAAAAGCAAAAACGAAATGAAGCATGAAGTGAATACTACGGATATTAAGAATAAAAACCCAAGAAAGTATACCAGAAAGTGTGTGTGTGAAGTGGGGAAAGGTGTAAACTTGGTCTAGATAGACAGATTCATTATAAAATTCTACTAAAATGAAGCAATATTTAAAATATATACATTTATAAATCAATGAATCAATAAATAAATAGGTAATAAACAAATAAATAATACACAAAATATAAATAAATATATGAATTATTAAAAAATATATAATAAAAAAAATAAATAATTGAAAAATTAATAAATAAATAATTCAAATAATAATAAATTATTTCATTTTAAAAATTATATATGAATACAATTTTTTAAACTTATATTGAAATCATCTTAAAATTAGTAAAATAATATATAATTTAAAAAATAATAAATTAATAAATAATTTTGAAAATAATAAATTAATAAATAATTTTAAAAATAATAAATAAAAAAATAATAAATTATTAAATCATTTTAAAAATAATAAATTAATAAATAATTGATTAAAAAAATGTTACAATTAAATAATCAAATCTGCAGACTAAATTTTCATTTTTAGAAAATCAAAATTTTTTAAACTTTTTCTTGAGAATTTTTACGATGTAACCCCTGAAAAAAATGTTCAAAAAATTATGAATTTATTTTATCTTGCAAACATGGCTAAATCGATTCCCCTGTTGATGCTGATCAAGAATATATATGATGTATAGGGTCGGAAATAAACCCTTCACTGCATTAATAGCTTCTGACTCCAATTACAATTATTTATTATTATTATATTATTATATTATAAATTAAAATTAATAAACTGATATAAATATGTAGGTTTAATTTTAAATAAAGTCGATATTCGCTAAATGCTATCGATGTTTCAAAAAATTTTAAAAGCATCATTGCATTGATTTTTCACCTCTATGCAAGCCAAAACAGATAAATTCTACTAAAATGGAAACCCAAATTTGTATAAACTTATTTTTTCAAAAAACAAAACATATATTTGTTCGTTCTTAGCCGATAGTTTGCTAGGCCACTCACGCACGCCAGGCGGTATTTCGGCTGCCCCGAGGCACGGTCACACTGCCGCTTATTGTACAAACAAGAATTGTTTGCGAGCCCCCAAAAAAGTGGTAAATGTTGTTGCCACGGCCAAACTGACGTCGCGCCGCGTCCGCAGAGCCTCGTGTCCGTACCCACATCCCTTCGCTGGGCGTTCCGATCCCGTGCCGCCCGGAAAAGCGGAGTAGTAAACACAGTTTTCGGTTCGTTTTCTTTTTTTTTTTTTTTTTTTTTTTTATAATAGCACAAACACACACAAACACACATACGCCAGACGCACGCTTACAAACACATACGCGCGCAGGGAACAAACAAAAATAAAGCGAAAAGTGCGAGACGCCAGGAGGCACATCTTCTTTTGCATCTACCATACATCCCGATCCCCCAAACGGATAACGTCGGGGATCCAGGCACCATGTCGCGGGTGCTCAGTCCGCGGAAGCAGGGCGTGGCAGAGGCGAGGGCGCAGGTGGCAGAGTCCCTGGACTACACGAGTAGCTCCAACTCCATCATCGAGTTCCTGGCCAAGGAGCAGGACAGCGGGGGGCTGGCGGAGCCGGATCCCGACAGGATCTTCCAGGAGGTGAGCCGCCTCTCCGACAGCACTGACATGCGGTCCGTGGACGAGCTGCTCCAGGAGGCGGAGCGCCTTATCCAGCAACAGTTCCGTCTTGGCGGTATTGCCACGGACCTGGACGTCGGCAACTCTGAGCCCAGCGAGCCTTTAGCCTCCAGAACCAATGGCGACGAAGGTTCTGAGGCTGGCGGTGACGCCTCCTCGTCCTCGCCCCTGTCAGCCTCGCCGCACAGCAGCATTCGGCTCAACGCACGCTACACCCATCGCATCGAGCATTTGCCTGCTCCATTGCCGCCGCCGCCCAAGACACCCCTGGTCAATGGGTCGTCAAGTGGCGGCAAGGCCAGGCCCAGGTCCGGCTCCAAGTCCTCGGCCTCGCCCACATCGGTGGCGGAGATGACGCCACAGATGAGCGGCAGCAGCATGGAGAACAGTGGAGCCGGGGCTGTGGCTGGCTTTGCCGGCTTTGCTGCCTTTGTGGATAACCTGCCCTCGGAGTCGGTCATTTCGGAAGAGTCTACGCCCAAGGACATGGATATGGATAACAATACGGCCACCTTGGCGCGACTAAAGCTGCAGTTGCAGGACAACACGGACGACGATGAGGATACGGTGAGTGGGGGGAAATGGGGAATTTCAGAGAACTCTGAAGAAGCTTCCTTGGAGGAGCTTTCTTGGAGGATTTACTATTCTGTGTTATTTCTTAACCCACCCCAAAAGTAAACTCCATTTTCAATCCAAGGTAATAAATAGCAAAGATTTCTTTATTTGCCGGCTTACTGGATGGATGGATGAATGGATGGATACCCCCATCCAGGCAGCCGGTCTCCACCCCTTTAAAGCAGAAGCATTCACACAGCGACAGGATAGCAGAAGCACACTATATAACATAAATAGGCAATCACCGGACACACACACAGCAGGCACACAAGGTGGGGTGGGGGTGGGGTGGTTAAAAAAAAAAAGGAATCGGTTACAGAGATTCGAAATTAACCAGAGGAACTCGGTCCAATTGCCTGGGCGACCGTTTCCGCCACCGTCCAGCCCTCGAGCGCCGTATCCTTGATGTATCTGGGCGGCAGGACAAATCCATAGGCTCCGCGATCCCTCAGCTCAATGGTGTACACATACTTGACGCCCAAGGCCGCCCGACTCCAGTCGTCGGAACCGCCGCCGGCAATGCCGAGCACCTCGTGGGTAACTGCTGCCCTGTATGTGGTGCCCGTCTTCTGGGCAATTCGCTCTGCCGCCAGGCTACCCACGCGCTGCAGTATGCTTGAATCCTTGACCTTGACGGCCTTGTAGGCCCACGGATAGACGATCATCTGGCCGTAGCTGTGGTACGTCAAATATGACTCCAGGTTGTATTTGCGCTTGGCCAAAAACTCAGCCACAGCCTTCGTCTCCAGCTCGGAGGCGGGCGATGAGCCGCGATAGGTGTCCCGGCAGGGATTAGTCGACGATCCATAGCCATTCCATCCAATATCAAAGTTCCGGTTGAGATCCACGCCGAAGCACTGGTTCTGACGCGATGGCGAGCGATTCTTGCGCCACAGGCGATTCGTAGTGCGGCTGTACTCGTAGCCATCGGGATTCATCACGGGCATAATGTACCATGTGAGGCCGCGGATGTGGGCCGGCTGGTTCTCCCAGTTCGACATCAGTTGGTAGAGGATAAAGGTGACCGTGGCGGGGCTGATCCATTCGCGTGCATGAATGCCGCCATCGATCCATACCTTCTTGTTCTCGCGGGGATTCTCAGAGATTCTTAGCACCTTCAGGTCGCGACCCTCGGCCGTCTGTCCAATGGTGTACAGGCGCACAATGTTGGGGAACTTGCTGCGAATTTCCCGCATGAAGCTATAGATGGTATCCAGGTCGTGGTAGTCCTTCCAGTGCATGCTGCTCCTGGTGGCCTTTTCTGTGGGTTTATGGAGGAAATCAATTATTTTAAACCTGTCTCTCCCTGCTCCCTGCTCCATTACTCACTCGCTCTCTTGCCCTGCTGCGAGGCCGTGGCCTGGATCCCTTCGAGCAGCTCCTCATCGATCATTGTCTGAATATTATCCGACAATATCTGGGCATCCAGTCGATGCGCCGATAGGAAACTGCGCGCCGCCTTCAACTGATCCCGGGCAATGGAGATGTCCAGGAACTTGGAGTTCTCCTTCCAAATGTTGCCACCAAACTTCTGCTCAAGCATCTGGCCCACGGGCACACGGCGCTGCATGGCCTCCGAGATGTTGTAGATCCGCCAGAGCTGTGCCTCATCGTATCGCTGTGGAATCTCGTTGACATCCAGGGTCTGATTGCTGGCTAGCAGGGGCTCGATGGCACCTGCCAGGAGGAGCAGCATCAGGAGATGGGGGCGCGTCATCGTTACGTGCGAGAGCAGGCTGACCTCTGTTAAGATGGTTGGCAATCAGTGAACAGTGATTGGTAATCAGTAATTGGCTGGGCCTTATCAGTGCGGGGTTGTCATTCAGGTTGGGGCTGCTAAGTAATTAACTGCAGATTTGATTGGTAGACAACAAATTCCCCACTCGAAAATATTAAGCTTGAATTTCAGTGACGGCGTGTCACGATTTTCCCATTCGTTTGTACAAGCTTTGTTTAAAAAAAAAAAAAAAAAATACCATTAACCAGTCGTAAAAACTGAAAAGGTTAGAGTAGCAACTTGCCATAAGACACGCTATTTAGTGTGCTTACAAGTGCTCCGAGTGTCATCCGGTAGCGATAACTGGCTACAGTGCATGCTTTTAACTGAATACTTTGAATAACTTTTGATTTGTAGGAAATTTTAATCCCCAAATTGTTACTTTTTCAGTTTTAACTTGTTTTTAGTTTATTTTCTAGTAGTATTCTAGTACCTGTTCTTGTTTCAATTTCTATATTATAATTTTCCTGCGAGTTCCCTTTTGTTCTGATTGGAGATTTTAGAAATGGATCCAATCGAACATCCAACCAAGTCGCTCTGCCAGCGAAAACTAAATCAGAAAAACGAAACTGAAAGCCAAACTCCAGCTACAAATGGAGGCAGTGAAAATAATTGTTACAGAAAAAGTTCGTAATTACCGACAAAAGAGAAACAAACAAACATATTTCCGTTTCATTGTACCTGGTTATGGTTATCTAGATGCGTGAGTAACCCTGTATTTTTTCAACCTTTGTCATTGCCAATAAGTAATTATAAATAGTAGACAGCTTTAATGGGTTTGCAAACTACGTAATGGAACACACAAATTAGTTAGGGAACCTTTTTTTCCTTTACTGAAAAAGGTAAGGTTAGTTAATTCATTTTTTAGAATTTTCTTTTCAAGGAACTCGATGATACCAAATCTCAAAACAATCAGACACAAATTCAAGGTTGATTAAAAAATACCTTGGATAGTGTAGGTTAAATAATTAATTTTTTAGAATTTTCTTTTTAAATAACTCGATGATACCAAATCTCAGAACATTCAGAAACAAATTTAGGGTTGATTAAAAAATACCTTGGACACTGTAGCATATTCTTAAGACATGACGAATTGTTTCGCTTTATAATTTAATTTAATAAGCTATGCCCGGTATATTCTTTTCAGGAATAATTCTTTAAGCTGTTTCTGCGCCATCTACTATTACTTAAATTTATTTAATTTTGTAAGAATTTTCTTTTCAAAGTACTCGATGATACCAAATCTCAGAGCGATCAATACTTAAAAACAATAAACATTTCATTCGCCTTAATATAAACTTCTTTTTGAGTGTATTCAGACTTGTGAGACCTTCATAAGAAATACGTTTCAGTATACAAACTGAATGTTTTTGTTGATCTAACCAATTTGCGTTGCTTTACGGATTCTAATGGCGATCGATCAATCGATCAATCCGTGAGGTTCCCCGAGCTCCCAGAGTTCCGGGGCCTGTGCTGTTTATTGACTATCAGCTTCGTCTTGAATGCACAATGTGTGGGATGAATGGGTTTTACACACGAGGAGGTGTGTGTGTGTGTCTGGGTCTTAGAGCGTCTTAGCCAATGGACCCTAGATCTAGATTCTAGATTATGGACATGGAAAACTTTTCCTGGTCTTCTGACAAAGATTTCGAAACCTCGTTTTAACGCTTCTGTGCTAATTTCCCTGGCCCGTTTTTTTTAGGTTTTATTTTCAGTTTTTTTTTATGGATGCGTATTTGTATTTTCGTGTTTATTTTCTTTTTATTGCCAGCCAGAAAGTGGCACTTGAACACTGGAGAGGGTCGTCGCCGGTCTCCAGTCTCCGTACCTCGGTGCCTCTGAGAACTGGTTCTCGTTCGGACCTCTCGCACCTCGGAATTTCAGATCTCGGGAGTCGTCGAAACACAGTTTCGGATTGGGTTTCGTTTTGTTTCGGTTTCAATTCGCTGAAGTTTACCTCGACCTTCGTGCCGGGACCCCCATCTCCCCATTCCCCCAAACCCCAGCTTGTTCTCCTTCCATTAACTGAGATTCTGCCCCTCCCCGATGCTGCTTTTTTAAGATAGTTGGAATAACAACCGAAATGCTGGTGTATCAATTTTCATTTTCAGATGGCTTGCTCATTGGTAATAAGGTAAATTATTATATGCAAATGACGAAAGATTAAAGGGAAAGTATTAAATAATTAAGGCACTGCTTGGTTGAAACCCTAATTAGTACTTGCTGCTGCACCAACGAAAGGAAAGAAAACGTAATTGGGCTTAATGAGCACCATGTGTAAACTGGTTAGGTTGAGGGACCGAAAGTTAATATTAAAAAGATCCAATCGAAAGTGATACCCAGCCCCCATATTGGTTACTTCCTTGTTGGTTGTAATTGTATAGCTTATGATCTATCCTATTTTCCCCCTCTCTCCCTGTCGCTACAAAAGGATATGTTCAAGTTTGGGTTTTACAAATAGAATCAAATCTCTACTTGACCTACTTAATGGTCTCTTATTTGGGTTTAATCTTTATGACTCTTAAGAATTTAAACATTTTTTAATTACTGTTTTTATTTTCCATTTTTCGAGTGAACAAAATATAAATAAAGATTTGAATCTAAAATTTATAAATTCTTTAGAGTTCTTCTTATTTTTCCTTTAAATTCGATTCAGAAGAAATTCTCTCATCTTTCAAATAATCCCTTCTATTTTATCCTACAACATTTATCTTATCTCTTAGGCAACCTCCGATCCTTAATGGGCATCTTATCTTTCTCTACCCCCTCTCTGCAACGCTCTTCGTTTCCGATTCTTCCCACATTCTCTTCGATATCTCACACCCTAAGCCTCTGTCTGCTCCATAAATTATTCTGCAATCTTCTTGCAGCCAAAATTTGCGTTCTATTTAAATTTGTTGTTGCACTTTTCACTTTTGTCTCTTGTGTTCTCTGCTTACCGCTGTCTTTATTGTTGTTGTTGTTGTTGTGGCTGTCCCGGGGATGCCGTTGCACTTGTTCTAGTTCCTCCTCACCTTCTTCTCTTCGTTGCCGGCTCTGCACGAGCTTTTGTGTGCGTGCGTGAGCGTGTTGTGCGTGGGAGAGTGTGTCGCTGGCTGAGCGTCAAACTCCGACTAAATGCTGCGCTTGTATGCGCTTCAATTTTTATATTGCCGCTCTGCCGGCGCAAGAGGGGCGGCTACCAAAAAAAAAGTAAATAATACAAAAAAAAAAAAACACCAAAAAAAGAGCATACACAAAACGAAACTGAGAATTACAAAACAAAACTACAACAAAAAGATAAGCTAAACTGTTGTAAATTTTTGCGCTGACCGACGACCGATCTTTAAAACGATCGTCGCGTAAATGGAAATGGAAATGAAAACGGCAGTGACAGCGGCAGCGACAGCGACAGCAAAGCCGGCAGAGCACAATGGTCAAGCGGAGCACTTTTCTTGGCTCAAAAGTTTAATTTTTTAAGGGTATTACAAATAACGTGGCAAACTCTGCTCTGCCAAAATCTGTTATTTGCAAGCAAAAGGTATTTTAAAATTACAAATAATTCTAAAAGAAAAGAAAACAAATAAATAGAACAAATATTTGAAATTAATCCAAATCAGTGAGGTTTGAACTACTTCAACTTGAACTTTTGTAATGTGAAATGTCAAAAATTGTTAAATTGGAAGTGGATGTCTCTTAAATTGACAAAGCTATCAATTTTGACAAAGAAAAGTGTCAGTGGGGTACCACTGTGCAGTAGCAGCAGCCGCAGCAGCAGCAGCAGCAGCAGCAGCGGCAGCAGCGACGTGCGGTGGCGTCCGAGAGAGAGGTAAGCCGATCTCCACGCACTCGCACGCTGTCTCTGTCTGGCCTGCATCAGTGGCAAATGCAGGTGAGGGGGTAGATCCAGAGAGTGCAACGCCCACACACCACACAGCGAGTGCTGCTGGCATCTCTCCTCTCCTTCTGCTTCTCACTCGACATTGACACTTTGGCTTCTGCGTGACGTATCTTGCCACTCATTGACGCACACCTACACACCCACGCAAGCCGTGAGATGCGCTCAGTTGCATTTACGGCTTCCAAGGAGCTGCCAACTTGTAATAAGATGCCATTTCCCATGAGTCACGGGTTCAGTCACAATATTCTTCTCTTGTCTTTGTCCGATTCTTGGGATTTCCAGCGATGAGACATTTACAAAAACAATTTTTTTCTAACTGTTTCTGTGTTGTTAGTGTGAACTGAATATATATGTAAGAATATTCTCAGAATTTTTAAAATGAAATCGATCTCTTATCAGTTTTGAACTTCGTGTTCCTGGAAAAAGAGACTTTGAAATTCAAACTAGGTTGGCAAGTCCCTAAGTATCTCTATCTCTGTATCTTTTTGTCCCTCTTTTCCTCACACGAGTACAACATTGATATCCAATTGGATCACACACTTTAAATCGTTGCAAGTGTGTAAGTGTAATTAACTCTGTGATTGTGTGACGGGGCAATTTTGACCCACTTGGCGAGTTTTACTTTCTTTCGCCTTTTGATCAGAGCCCAGTTTATGCCCCCCGCACTTGAGTTTGGCTCCAGGCTTTATTTATTTCTTTCTTGTTTACTTTGGTTTTGTTGCTTACCTTTTTCCGGTGTTTTTTTTAGTTTATGTTTTTTTTTTTATTTTGATTTTTTGTGGCACCCAGATTTTCACTTTTAACCCTTTCTTTGAGAGCAGTGTCAGCCACAATGAAATATTTTTTCGGGGCAGCACTACTTTTGCCCGCTGATTGTTCATTGTACAGTAAACACTGTGTTACACTGCAGAAAATTCTAATTAATTTTAATGTATTAAATAAATTAAAAATGTAAATTTAAAATGAAAAAAGGAAACAAAACAAAAATTATCTTAATCAGGCCTGTTCTAGTTTCCACTCGGAAGTGAATTTGATAACATTTGCGGATTTCCCTTTAACATAAGCGAATTTCCCTTGGTGATTTAGGGAAATTTTTTATTAATTTCCCTTATATTCCCAAACAAAATCAGCTGGTCGCTTTCAACAAAAGAGTTTTCCTTGTCTAAGGCTTGCTAAAAGGAGCTGATCCAATTTTGGCCCGCTGTAGTCTCCAACTCATAGATAGTAATGAAGCACTAATTTAATTAATAAAATCGAAGGAATAAGCATTTACGGCTGGAAATAAACATTTTGAAATATTTATAATTGCAATCAGCTGTTCTGGTCGCAATTGCTCGAGAGTAGAGTTGCCCAGGGTTTAGAAAAGATTCCCTTCGCATAACACTTAGTTCAGTTTGTAGATTAAACTGGCTGGTATTTTAAACAAAAACACTTTTTCATATACTTTACCCTAAAAGCAGATCTTTTAATTGTAAAACAACATAAAAAGTAATTGTTCAAAATTTATCTTAAATATATGCCTTTTTTTAAACGCTGACAACCCTTAAATGGTCCCTCTTAAATACGACACAGCGGCGGCGGATTTGCAATTATGTTGAAGGTTAGAATCGAACCGATTTTAAGGTGCACCCACAAAATAATTATTTTTAAATCAAGTATGTTAGTATTAATTAATTCAATTATGCAATAATGTTCCCAAAACTTCAAGGAATAAAATACAATTAAAATTTGTAATTTTCATAATCGCATTGTATTTTAAAATAATTAATTTCTGATTTTGCGGAATTGAATCCGCCGGCCCAATGGCACACGGAAAGTTTCCGTGCGTTTCTCCTGCAAATTAACAGAGACTTAACAGAGGGAACTACGAATCCGTAAGAATTTTTCGGAAGTGAGTACTAAAACAGGTCAGGGAAATCCGAATCCGAATAAATTTTGCGGAAGTGGAAACTAGAACAGGCCTGAATATCTGAGCAAAATTAAAATAAAAAAGGTTTGTCTTTAAAGTATATTGAAATTTAATATTTTTGTTTATTATTGATAGCTTAATAAGATAGCTTTTCTTATATTATAAAAAATATAGATTCAAAACTTTAGACATTTTTTTAAAATACGTCTTTTTAGTTAAGATCTGAATCCCTTGACTATTATTTTTATTTTATAGCCTTTTTTTTTATCTGAAAAATATATTTTTCTTGCTGTGTAAACGAGTGAATTCTTCGTTCTTTTAAAGACTGGTGTTGATAAGCAGTGTTTTCTTTAATTCTGTTGAATTTGTATTTTGTTGTTTTTTTTCTCATTATAATTTTTTTTTAAATAATTTTAATCGCAGCTCTTGTGGGTTATTTTGCCTGGCGTATAAAACACTTTCTTCGATAGCTTTTTGACTTTGACTTTGCCGGCTGGTGGCGGCGATCGCCCCGGGCCTTTCGCTTAATTTCTATATGCATGCACAAAATAAGTCCAATCAAATATGCAACAACAAAAGGAGCCGAGGAATAACAACAAATGAGCAGGCTAAAGAGCAAAAAACAAAACATCAGAAGCGTTGAGCCGAGCTTACGGGTTTTTGAAACGCGATTGAAAGTGAAAGTTAAGGCGGGCGGGCGTCTCTCTCGCTCTCTTTTAGCCGCCTCTCTTTTAGCTTTCTATTTGCCTTTGTTCAAAGCATTCTGGTTAGCCTTTTTTTGTATGTTTTTTAAATGTATTTTTTGTTTGCCTTTTTTTTGGCAAAGTTTACATAAGATGTGCCTTATTAATGGCTTTTAGATATGGCGATAGACGCGACATACAACCGATTGCGAAACCGATAAACAAAAATGGTCCCAGTTACATGGCTCTCTTCTAATCGAAGGCAAGAGAGAGTAAGAGCTAATTACTCCCTGGAGAAATGTCTTGTTTTAGTACGAGGGAAGCTTTGACTTTGATAAAAGCCTGAAAGTAGGCAATGAAAAATGAAACTGAAAAAGTAAAGTTACGATTTGTTCATATAAATTACGTTATATTGCTTCGATTTATTACAAAAAAAAAAAAAATGCATAAATAAATAAATAAATATATATTTTTTAGAAGGTTAAAAAAACTCCCTCAGGGAGTTACTGCAACTGCTGGGCTATGATCCTCAGGAACTCGAAAACCTCCTCCCCCGACTCTACTATGTAGTGCGGAGGCATCAGGTATCCGTAGCGTCCCTGATCCTTTAAGAACATATTGTACACCAGCTGACCCCCAACACGATCCTGCACCCAATCCGCCGAGTTGCCTGGCCTGGCCAGCTTCTGGCGGTAGCTGGTGCCCGACGAGTACTCCGCCTGGTTGAGTCTCCTCAGTGCGAGCACTGCCCTCCTTGCCACATGCTTCAGATCATGCTGGTTCTCCGTCACATAGTCCGCATCACCCCAGGGATAGGCAATGGCCTGGCCATAGCCTCCCAGGGATATATACGCACCGAGATATTCCCGCAATCCGGTCAGGAAGCTCCGCAGGGCACGAGTCTCCGGCTCGGAGAAGCTCTTCGGTCCGCGGTAGAGATTTTTGCAGGGACTACTCGTTGAGCCAGTGCCACCCCAGCCATACTCAAAGTTCCTGTCCAAGTTGACGCCATAGCAACCGGTGGCCGGATCGTGGGCTCGGTTCTTGGTCCACAGGCGGTCCGTCTGCCGCGAGTACTGATAGCCATCGGGATTGGCCAGGGGCAGGACGTACCAGTCAATGCCACGCATTCCCAGTTCCAACTGACCCTGACCCCAGAGATGGGTCAGCTTGGACAGGGCATAGGTGAGGGCGGCGGGACTCAGCCAGTCGCGGGCCTGCATCCCAGCATCCACAAAAACAGCCCAGTTATCCGGATTGCCATTGGAGACTCTGTGCCAACAAAAAAGGGATGGGATGATCACCAGAAATCCCCATTGAAGGGAAATTCCCTCAATTTGAACCCTCACCTGATCACCTCCATTGGCCGCTTGTTGCGCGTGACTCCGATCTGTATGATTTCCACCATTTCCGAGTGTTTCTCCAGCAGCGTCTGCATAAACTGCTGGATATCGGCCTGATCGTGGTACCTTCGCCAGCTCATCAGCGTTCCCGGTATGTCCATCCAGGGCAGTGAACCATTCCGGACGGTGTCCAGTGGATGATCCACCGCTGGCACTTCCACATAGGTCTCATCAATGGCCGCTTCGATGTCATCGATCATGATGTTGTAGCTGAAGCCGACCTTTTCCATGAATTTCCGGGCATCGGCCACATTCCGCTGTTCGATGAGTATATCGATGCCATCCTGGTTGATGTTCCACACTTCGCTGCCTGAATATTAATATATATATATATATTTTTTTTTTTTTAACTTAATAAACCAGAAGAACCCCAAAATATATGCAAATAGTATGCTTTTGGTTCACGTTTATAGCCAACAAGTTGGTTAGTCACTCGGAAGAGGTATAGTGATACCCCGATTAATATAGTTTATAGATATTTTCCAAGTACCAAAGTGTCGCCAAAAGGCCCGCAGCTGCGGCTGAGCCAGCCTGGTCTCATGAACTTTCCACAACTGATGGCCATAGTAACGCTTCACATGGCTCCCATTGCGATAGCGCCTGTTGATCTGGTACGAAGATCCTGGGGAGAGGAAGTCGTAGCGTCGCAGATCCGTCGGTGAGAGCCACTGCAGGCCCTCAAAGGTGGTGGCCACCAGTTCGCTGCTATTGAGAGTCAGCAAGGCCAGCGGCAGGCCCGAGAGGCCGGTGAGTTCCGGCACCGAGACACTGCGCCACAGGAGCAGACGCTGGCTGGCTCCCAGAACTCCTCCTCCACCACCACCTTCTCCTGCGAGCAGAATCACAACCAGATGCCACATCTTCTTTGGCTTCGAACTTAGAACTAAACCAGAAAGTATATTCCGACACGATTAATGCCAAATTTATGCGTGAGAATGCGTGCTCAGGTGGCGATTTCGAACCGAACTGAGCTCGACTCGAGCCCAGTTGACCTGACCTGATGATCTGCCTGGCCCTGACCCCTCCCAAAAACGCGCCACAGACGGGGTGAAAAAAATATAACTAGAATGGTTTTCGGGAAATATATAAGCATATAAATTAACCAATAATAAATACTTAGAATCCACTTGGAACCAAAAGGTTAATATCCTTTAAGGGCGGGCCCTCTTTAAAGTGGTTTAACTGAAGAAATTTTGAAAACTTTATGATCTAATATCTTAAGAAAATAATATATATATATACATTAAATAAATTCAACCTGATTTTTAGATTTTTACCTATTTTTGTGATCTTAACCGTGCCTCTTTGGGCTTGACAATTTCTCTTCTTTTGTGCTGACTTTGATAGACTTCGCGAATGGCCCTTAGGGCCATTAATTTTTATTCGATTTAGAACCCCGACAGTGACTCACCGAATAGAGCAACCACCTCGTTGAACTGGGCATCCGGTGAGGAGTCGTCGTCGTCGTTGTCCATCCGTCGACCCAGCTCCGGTTCCCCTGATTCGGCCTCCTCCTCCTCACGATCCTCCTCCATGGATGAACCCCGAGTGGCATTAAAATTGAGCTTCCATAGCTGGGCACCGCGATAGCTCACGTAATTGGGGTCCAGTTCGCTGCGCAGCTCGTTGATACGGCCACGGGGTGGCGATGGGGGATTCACCATGGCCAGTGGATGCAGATAGCGCAGCAGGTGACCCACTCCGCCGCCAAAAAACGGCAGCCTCATTAGCCGATTGTCGGTGCGGGCCAGGTCCAGGTGATTCCTCCTGTCCACGCCCGTGGCTCGCTTTGGCATGAGCATGAGCATGATTAGTGGCAGCCACGCCCACTGGAATGGAGGAATGTGCATGGTGCTCTGCCTCTCTTCCGGAGATTCCAGATATCGTTGGGTTTTTGGGGAACACGGAACTGGTGCGGTCGAGGTGGCTTGGAGGTTGGTGCGGATTTAATGCGTTCGCAAATCAGTTGGCGAGCCGCAGCCTCCGGCTAACGGCTTCTCGCGATCTCAATTCTCAAGTCTCCCGTTCTCCATTCTCCATGCTCTATTCTCCAGTCGGCGTTCTTCGTCGCATTTCTCCCCGATTTTAAGCCCAATTCCCCAATTAAGGCCATCACATTTGCATATTGACGGAGCGCCGGTTATTTTCATGTTTTTATTTATGCTTTTTTGTGTGTGACTTTTACTTTGACTGAGGCGTATTATCTGTTATAGTGTTATACTCGTGCCAAAATGATGACGAGGGAGGGCAATAAAGTTGTAAAGTTTGGACAGAATTATATCTATAGATATATATATTTTTAAATATATATTTTTTTGAGTTGTTTTTTAGAACTGCCCCTCCCTCGCAAGCATTTTGGCACGACTAAACCACACTATAACAGATTATGCGCCTTAAAGTAAAAGCCACACGGAAAAGCATAAATAAAAACATGGAAAAAAAAATAAAGATAGAAAAGGAAAACATTGTTTTTTTTTTAATCTGAAAATATTATATATTATAAAATATATGAAAAGTATAACATAGCAAAGAGCCGAAAGATCTTTGCTTCATGTTCTAAAAAACAAACAACATAAAAACAAAATATATACATATTTTTAAATATTTAAAATATTTTTAAAAATGATTTTAATATTTTAAAAATATGTTAAGTATTTTATTTTATTTTGCTTTGTATAAACTATTTAATACTTTTGATATACTTATATTTAATATTTTAAGATTTTTTTTTTTAATAAAAAACCAATGTTTTTCTTTTCTTATATTTTTTGTATTTTTTCAATAAACATTTCTCAGTCTATTTCGATGAGTTTTTCTCTTGTTGTGTGTGTTTGTGTGTGTGGTTTACCTGTTGTGTTTTCATGTTTGTGTTCAATTTGTCTAGTTACAAGTAGAATAAATAAATAAATAAATAATATTTAAATATAAATAGCAAATAAAAAAAAAAAAATCGATTGATTCACAATCTTAAAAATCGCATTGAACTAAGTCCAGGTCAGGGATTTTTAGTGGCTACGCCTCCGGCTGCCAGTGCTGTTCCTGGCCACCGCCTTGCCGCGTCCTTGGGCAATGGCCCTGGCCACCGTATCGGCAAAGGTGTAGCCATCCTTGCCGTTGTACTGAATGAACCTGGCGGGCAGGACGAAGCCATAGCGTCCAGTGTCTCCCATTTCAATGGTGTAGGCATACTTGATACCCGCAATGCCCTTGGCCCAGTCATCGGAGCCGCCGGCAGCGGGATACAGGGTTGTGGCCGAAGATCCCACCGTATACTTCACCCCCGTTGACTTGGTGATGCTCTAGAGGATTGGGCTTTAAAATTACTTATCGGAACATAAATATAAACAGCAACAACTCACCGTTCCTGCCTGTCGTGCCACACGGTCCAGATCCGCCCGATCCTGGGTTAGCTGATAGTCATAGCCCCAAGGATACAGGATGTACTGGCCATAGCTGTGGAAAGAGAGATACGCCTGGAAGGTCTCGCGCGGGAAACCGCTAATGAACTTGGAAATGTAGAAGGTCTCCGGCTCGGAGAAGGCCTTGCTGCCGCGGTACGTCTGCGAGCAGGGACTGGCCGAGGTGCCCTTGCCGCCCCACTTGTAGCCAAAGTTACGATTCAGATCCACTCCCGGGCACTGTCGTCCATGGGCGCGCATATTCTTGCGCCAGAGGCGATCGGTGGTGTGGGAATACTCATAGCCATCGGGATTGGCCACCGGATGGATGTACCAGTTGATGCTGCGCATATGCTCGGGCAGATCCTCCCAGCCCTCGACCAGTTGGTTGGCGATAAAGGTGACCGTGGCGGGACTAATCCATTCACGGGCATGCATGCCGCCATCGATCCAAACGCCAGGATTACGGGCATTGCCATTGGAGATCCTTGTGGGAATATATAAAGATTAGCCTGGGGTTTTATTTTTGAGAAAATAATGACTTGAAACTCACTTGAGTATCTTCAGGGGGCGCTTCTCGACGGAGTAGCCAATGACCTCCGTTGAACAGATGTCCGGATAGGTTTTGGCCATGTAGTCGATGAAGCCATGGATGTCCTCCAGACGATGATAGGCCTGCCAGGTGAGACGGTGTCCTGTAAAAGACCAAGGTGGCTGTTGGTATCAAGAAGCTAACCTTAACCTCCCGCTGAACCTGTAACTTAACCCAAACCTGAACTTGAACCTGAACCTGAACCTGAACCCCCTCCTGGGTTCATTCAACCTTTTCTTTTTTTCTAACGAACCAAACCCTTAACCCTTGATGCAACGACGGCATCTTCTTCCTGGCTATCGATTAAACAAACGCGTCTTGCAAGGACCTAGCCTATCCTTCTCTCCGGTGCGTGGCACTTGGCACGTGGCTATGCGGGTTCCTATGGCAAAGCCACTTTGCGCTCGATGACTTTTCACACGCCCCTCGCCGAGTGCATTAAATGCTCGTTTGCGGCGACACCTCGCCGGAAAAGCTACCCGAAAAACGTGAAAAGCGAAAGGCCAAAGGAAGAAAAGGGGTGATTGCAGGCTGGCTGGCAGGCAGGCACCACCTGTCACTCAAAAAAAAAAAAAGATATGTGATTGTGTGGGTGGTGTGGGCAATCAGTTCCTTTTTCTTTTTTGAAAAAAAAGGGAGAATATTTCTCATCGAGGACAACTTTTACTTCTATAAGGACTTAAATATCTCTCCTTTCCGGGGAACCTCTCTAGGGTTAACCTCTTCCCCGACTTTCCCCTTTCTTACCCTTGCGGTTCTGCAACTCGGCTATCTTTTCCGCTGGCGGATTCTCCACTTCAATAACATGCTGCAGGTTATCGATGAGCACAATCCGGGAGAGATTAGCCGCACGAATATGACGCTCGGCAGCGGCCAAGACTTGGGGCTTCAGTAGATAGTCCACCTCCTGCTTCACTTCCTTCCAGAGCTGACCGTCTGCAAAGGGGGAAATGGTATTAGAATCAACTTCTTGTGGAATTGCTTGCTCTTTGACTCACCATATTTGGACTGGAGTTCATCGGCCAAACGCTTGTCCTTATCGGTTTGCACCACAATGCGCCACACCTGGGCGCCATCGTAGCGTCGCAGATGCGCATTGAACGGAGACTCCTCCTCGGTTTTGGGCAGCTCCGCCTCAGCTGGCTGTTGGGTGAGGAACGAGGCGTTCACATAGTTAAGCACACTATCCTGGACATGGAGCGGCTGCGATGGGATCTGGGGCTGGGGCAGCACCATGGGTATAATGGTGGTCAGCAGGGAAGGCTGCTCTGGCTGCTTGGGTTGCTCAGCGATGGCTTGGGGTTCCTTCTCCGCTTCGGCTTCGGTTTGGATATCATCTTGGAGCTTGACTGGAGCTTCAGCTGGAGTTTCAACTGGGATTCCAGCTGGGATTTCAGCGGGGATTTCAGCTGCGATTTCAGCGGGGATTTCAGCGAGGATTTCCGATGGGATTTCAGCAGGAATCGCCTCTTGGGGCTCTTCAGGTTTTATCTCATTAATTTCCGGCTGAATCTCGGCATCGTTCTGCGATTCCTCCTCTGGCTTGGCTTCCTCCTCAGGCTTGGCCTCCTCTTCAGGCTTGGCCTCCTCCTCTGGCTTGGCTTCCTCCTCGGGCTTGGCCTCCTCCTCTGGCTTGGCTTCCTCCTCAGGCTTGGCCTCCTCCTCTGGCTTGGCTTCCTCCTCTGGCTTGGCTTCCTCTTCAGGCTGGGCCTCATCCTCTGGCTTGGCTTCCTCCTCAGGCTTGGCTTCCTCTGCCTTAATATCCTCCTCAATCTTGGACTCTTCCTCTTGTGGCTTGGATTCCTCCTGAGGCTTAGCTTCGGCTACTTCAGCTGGAACCATATCTGGCTGGATTTCCTCAGCGGGCTCAGCCTCCTGCTCGGGTTCATCGGCCAAAATAAGCTCTGGTTTCTTATCCTCTTCGGGGGCAACTTCGGGAGCTGCTTGCTCCTCGGCGACTTCGGTGACCGGAGTTAGTTCCTCTTGTTCGGAAACAGTTTCCTTCTCCTTTTCCTGTTCCTCCTCTTTATTTTCGGTGGCCTCGGCCAGTTCGTCGGGCACCAGGTTGTCCATGGCGGCGGTGAGGCCTTCTTCGATATTCTCGGCCAGGGTTTCGATCAGGGAAGCCTCTGTGGTATCCACTTCGTTGTCGCTGATCTTCTCCGGCTCAGTTTCGGTTTCCTTCTCCTGATCCGCTGGGACTTCGGCTGGAATTTCTGGCTGGGACTGGGCTTCAGCTTGAGTTTCATCTTCTGGCTGGGATTCAGCTTCAGGTTGAGCTTGAATTTCTGGCTGGGATTCAGTTTCTGGCTGAGTTTCCTCTGCTGGCTTAGCCTCAGCTTCTGCGGCTTCTGGCTGGGATTCTGCCTCCTCCTCTGGCTGGGACACAACCTCCTGCTGCTTTTCCTCCTGCTCAGGTTCTGGCTGGGATTCCTCAGCTGGAGTTACTTCAGCGGCTGCCTGCACTTCCGTCTCCTCTGGCACCTGGTCATCCATGGTCTGCTCCTCTGCCGTGGCCTCAGTGGCTGCCAGCTCCTGCTCCTGCTCCTCAGCTTCCGGCTGATCTTCAACTTGTGCTGCTGCTTCTTCGGTGACAGTGTCCACTGCCTGCTCCAGCTGGGCCTCCTGGCTGCTGGGCTTCATCAGCACCACATGCTCCTCAATGGATTCCGGCTGCAATTGCTGTTGGTGATCCTGATCCTGCTCCTGCTCCTGCTCCGCCACTGTTATATCGCTTGGCAGCTCCACCAGCTGCATAGCTGGACTGGAGTCACTCTCCAGCATTAGCATGTCGGAGGCGGCGCTCGCCGGATCTTCGGAGCCCGAGTCAGATTCAATGGAGTTGCGGTGCACGTGCTCGGTGTCCTCCAGCTGGCTGGCCACTGTTTCCGGAACCAGCATGTACATATCGGCTGCAGAGTCCGCCGAGGGGATCGAGGTCAGCTTCATGTCGTCCACAAGGACATCCGGCTGGTTGGGCGATGGGGATGGGGATTGATCCACTGGCAGCTCGTTGCGCTCCAAGGCTAGGCGGTCCAGCGACATGGCGGACGCTGGCTCATGATGGAGCAGAACGGCTAGGAGTAGGAGTTGGAGGCAGCGACGACTGCTGCTGCTGCTGCTGTTGCTGTTGCTTCTTTGGGGGGCGAGGCCCGCACGCGATCTCGCGGTGTGCATCTTGGCGGGATCTGGCTGTGAACCGTTATGAGACATGTCCCATTGCTTGAGTGCCGCTTTTATACTTCGCTGTGCGCTCCAGCGGGAAGAAGAAGAGGCGGCCGTGGAGAGCATTGCCATTTCATTTTCGATATATTTCTCTCTCTCGGCGGGCAGCAGCAGCAGCAGCGCTGCTCACTTACACTGGCCAGCAAAGCAGAGCTGCACATAGCTGTGTGTGTGTGTCTATGTGTGTATGCAAATGATCCATGGCCTGGTCTACGCTCGCGGCTCTCTTCCTTGTGAGCGGTGTGGCAGCCCCCCCCTCTCGCTGTCTATCATCTTCCATCTTTCCAGCTGCTATCTTCCATTTCCATTTCCAATACCCAGGTTCCCCGCTCTCGCTTTCTTTCGGGACAAAATGACAAAGCATAACGAAGAATTGTTGAAAAAAAAACAAAACAAAAACCGAAAACTATTATAAGATCAACAGATATAACCAAAAATTATAATGTATTTCATGACTAAATTATTCCTACGGGTTTCAATCTTGTAAATACAAATACATATCTTATATAACTGTAAACTTGGGTTGATTAATAGGATTCTTTGGGCATAAAACTTAAGGAAGATAAATCTATAGGTAGTCTAAATATGAAGGGTTTATAATTAATTCGATTTTCGATTGTATAACTTTACATTTTCAAAAGAAATCCTTGAGCTGTTTTTAATGTAATTATTCATTCTTTTAATTTAATTATTTATTTAATAATAATGTATAGCCATTTTTATATTATGAATTTTATATTATTATTATTTATATTATGTATTTATATTTATATTTTGTACTGATTATATTATTTATATTATTTTATATTATTTATTTATCTTAAATTATATTACAAATTCCCCAAGAAAAGAGATCTTGACAAGCAGGTTTCCTTCATATTGCTTGACTTCGCTTCTGCAGTTAATGAATTATAAATATTTCCTGGCATTTCTCTGCTGGCACAATTCAGAGGCCGATCGATAAATGCCCCTGGCTTCCGTAAATAACTTTTCCCCCATTTAAATATTGATCCGGATCGCCTTAAGTGTCCATCCAACTGTCACAATTATCATCGACTTTCTACAGACTCCACAGATAGCAGATCCGAAGATCGCAGATCATTCTGTATCTGCATTTTAATTGATGAATCACAGCCTCCTTAATTCGTAATCGATGTCAATTGGCAGTTGCGTGTTAACTGGACGCGATAATTGCTTAAAATTTGCATTTTAAGATGTTTTACGAGTGCAGGATACACGACAACTGTATCTGTATCTGCAACTTGACTCGTATCTTGTGGATATACGCAGCTCGCAGCTCGTTGTTGTTGCTGCGCTGGAACTGTGCGCGCTTCAAAAGTTAAAAGTTTCCAATTTGCTCATTGACATGATTTCAGCTCTACTCCGTTTTTTTTTTTATTTATATATTTGATTTGTATGGGAATGGTACGAGTATTACCCACGCTCTGCTCTCTAATCAACCGCACCTCACCGTCGTCGCACAGTAGCTCCTTTTCTCACTTTTCGTTGCAAAAATCATAACTGATGAACCAAATAAGATAATCGAATAATTTAAATGGCACTTGACAAGTAATTGTTGTACAATTTTTATATGTTCTGCAGAACATGCCACGCCAGTAAATTCGCCTTTTTATAGGGTATCAAAGAGAAAAATCGAAATTTTCCTAAGAAAACGAATTTAGAAAAATTAAAATTTAACAATTTCTAAGCTTAATTTTTGTTGATTTGTTTGTTTGAGAGGCTCTACTGTGCCTCGTTGTCGTTGTCGCTGGCACACAAACAATTGCTCTTGCTGCCGGCCGGCGCTCCTTTCACTTTATAATAAGTAAGTGGAGTTTATCACAAATGACAATTGAGGAAGAGCGAGAGTTCAAGTAATTGCAAAGCTGAAATCGCCGCCTCCGGGCCCCCTTCCATTGGGGGAGGTCAAGTAGTGAAATTGTCCTTAATATAGTTTAGTTTACTTGATGGCTAAGTAGTTTTGTCGATATTTGATTTGCTGGCTTTTTGCCACCTGCCACCTGCCGCCTGCCTATTGCCTCAATTGGTTCACAAAACTGTGCAAATTACTGCAAATTAGTGCTAATTAATTGACTATTTGCTTGGATTTATTTACTAAACTATAAGGCTTTAAAAGGGTCTCATAAAGCAAGTGTGAATTTGTTTTAATATACAAAAATTACAGTTCATTTTATATATTTTACAAGGCAACGCATGCGATTAAATATTTTATAGCTGAAAATATATAGTTTTTAAAGTATGTTTTTTTAATTCCCATACTTCAGTCGGAAGCTATTAACGCAGTGAAGAAGTCATTTCCGACCCTATAAATCATATATATTCTTAATCAGCACAAATAGCCGAGTCGATCTAGCTATGTTCGGAAGAAAAATATTTTTTGAAATTTTTTTCGATTTATATTTCAAATAAATTTCCCTGAAAAAATGAACAAAAAATTTGATTTTTGAAAATCAAAAATGTAGTATGCAGATTTGTTAACCTAGAAAAAACTAGCACAGAATCGCTTTCCGAATTGAATTTGATGCTTTTTTGGCTTAGTTATTATTTTTTTAATTTAAAAAATTCCATTTAAAATACCTAAAAATATTCATTTGAAGAAAGTGAATATTTGAGAGTTTCTTGAGGGGTTTTATGATTTTAATCCGTGAAGGAGTCATTTCCGACCCCATAAATCATATATATTCTTGATCAGCACAAAAAAACGAGTCGATCTAGCCATATCCGGAAGAAAAAATTTGTTTGCCATTTTTCCCGAAATTTTATAAGGGGTTAAAATTGTTAAAATTGTGAAAAATTAACAAAAAAAAATTGAATTTAAAAAATAATTCTACTCAGTATGCAGATTTATTAACCTTGTAATAACTAACGTAGAACCGTTTTCCGAATTGAATTTAAAGCATTTTTGGCTAAGTTGTAGATTTTCAAATTTTGGACTTAAAGCAAAATGTAAATATATTAAAACAATTAAATATTATTAATTCATAAATATTAAATACTAAGTAGATACATTTATTCAAAATATATTTAACAATATTAAATATGATAATTCTATGTTTTGCAATACAAAACATCAATTAATTATATTTAAAACAATTTTTTTAAATGATAAAGAAAATGTTTTTTTACACGAAACATCCCAATTATCACCTAACGAACTAGAACTAATTCCAATTAGCGCCAAACTGAAAAATTCACACATTTCAAGCGGTTTTTCGAGCTGCAAAGAGTGGAAAGTGGCAGAAGGCAGCCAAACATCATCCACACAGTCCAGCAGGCAGGCAGTCAGGCAGCCCCATAAAATGGACAAAAGTATGAATGAGGTGAATGGGAGGCACTTCGACACTCGATACTTTTCAGGTAGAATCCCCCACAGAGCCGATGAAAGCGAGAGTGGGCAGAGCAATGTCAGTCGATTGCTGGCGGCGGCCGAAAAAAAATAACAAATTAAAAACTGATGCACACACACACACACACACATACCCAAGCATACACCACACAATAGGCGTTATTTGCGGGGGAACTTTCTTTCTTCTTCAATATTTCGCTGCTTTTTTTTTTGTCGAGTGTCGAGTGCTGCTGCTGGTGCACGCCCACATCATCCCAATTATCTTCTTACGCTTACGAATATAGGTACGGATACGACACGGGTGCGGGCACAAAGCCTGGCCACTTGACAGTCGATAACGTTTGACGAGGGTTGCCGCTGAGGTTGCTTGTGCTGCTGCTGGGCACAGTGTCATTTTCCACACCGAGTTTGTCGCCTAAGTCTTTCGTTTTTGTCCCCTTTTGTAGGCAATTTTGATTGTTTCTCATTTTTTTTAGGGGTTTTTGGAAGCAGGAAAATAATTTAAATTAGAAGTTTCTTACATATACTTGATATTTTAAATTAAAAACTATATTTTTCATATATTTACTTAGTAATTTATATTTTAAAATTTGATTTAACTATAATTAGTTGATGTCCACCAATGCAAAACATAAATTGTATATTCAAAAATATATTTTGCATATTTTTGAGGGTTTTTTTGAAGAAGTAAAATTGTTTAAATTAGATGTAGCTTACATAGATTGGAAATTTAAAATTAAAAATTATATTTTTTATATATTTATTTAGAAATTTACATTTAAAATTATTTTTTAAAGATATATATATATTATATATATATTTCTTAATGGTTTATATATTAAAATTAGACCCCAAAAATTATTTAAAAATTTTTAAATATAGCAAACAATTGTTAAATAATATTTAAATAATGTTTTTTTCTATAAAAAACGTATTCAAAGGAATTAAAAAGATTTAAGAAGCATGGGATGATGTAGTTATCTTTTAGTTTTTTGATCTTTTATAGAAAAAAAGAAGTCCTAAGTTTTCTGTTAAAAGTTAAGCTTTTTTAATAGAATTAGTAGTAGAATTTCCCCCCCACCTGGCTCCACTGTGCTCCCGGGGGACATAAAGTCATGAAGTCAGTGTCGCCCATATATTTCCATTGTAATGGCGACCGACTGGTGACTGGCTTTGCTTTTCTACTGCTCTTGGTCTGGTCTGCCTCCTCCGCTCTCCGCCCATCCCTAGAGAGGATGATGGTGAGATGTTCGGGGGAAAAGGGAAAGAGATGCGACAGGTATTAACGATTCTCGCCACGCGCAACCGTCTCTTTACCGTTAAGCTGCCACACCTTCCCTAAGCTCAGCTTCACATGCACTTTCACATGTCTGCCGTCGCCGCCGCCCCCAACTCAGGAAACTTCATCTGTTTAAGTCTTCATTTTCAGTGGATCCCAATTTGATATACTTTATTTTCCCTTTTTGCAGATGGAGGAGATCACTGAGGCGGAGGTGGATGCACCCGTGCCGCGCTGCCGCAGTCCAGTGTCCAGTAGCCGCCGCCGCAGCAGTGCTCTTGGCCTTGGCGGCCTTAGTCACTCCTACAGCCAGCAGCCCATACGTCCGATGGCCAGCTACAGCGAGAAGGCGGTGGGCAGCTCGCCCAAGCACCTGGTCAGCACTCTCAGCTCGCCCATCGAGCAGATCGCTTGCAATGTGTCCCGGGAGCATGCCCTCAAGCACGAGATCGAGCAGCTGCAGGAGCGGCTCAAGGACACCGAGGAGCGTCTGGCCTCGGTGCGCCTGCAAAGCGATTCGCTGTCACAGACGCAGCGTGCCCTGCGCGAGCACAATGGCCGCCTGCAGGAGGAGTCCGAGATGCTAAAGCTGGACGTACAGCATCTGAACGAGTGCGCCGGTGTCCTGCGTTCGGAGCTGCAGGCGGCACGCCGAGATCGCAGCGAGGCCCTGCAGCTGCAGCGTTCGCTGCGCGCCGAGCTGGAGGAGGTGCAGCAGGAACGGCGGCGAGCGGGGGAGAATAAGGAGAAGGATGCCAAGGTCATACAGGATCTGCAGCGGCAGTGTCGGGAGATGGAGCGCATACTAATGCGCAAGCATCCCGATTCGGTGTCGGCTCTCATAGGTTGGTTGTTGAGTAATTTAATTATTAAAAAATAAAAAAAATAAAATTAATGTATAAAATTCTGTGGCTGTTTAGTGGCCTCCAAGAATCCCGGCATGTGTGCCCTGAATGATCAGGAGAACATGAGCAGCCGCAAGCTGCTGGAGCAGCGCATTGCCCAGCTGGAGTCGGATGCCAAGGAGCAGGATCGCAAGGCCCAGCAGATCCTGGCCAATGTGCAGGCCCGCTTTAATTCCGTTCAGGCCAAGTACGAGACGCACATAGCGGACCTGGAGACGCAGGTTTTAAGGTGGGTTTTTGTTTACAAATATTAGTAAATAATACAACAACTCTGCCCGCCACAGTCTCCAGGAGATCAACACCAAGTTGAACGAACAGATTGAATCCCAGGTGCGCACCCTGGATCGCTATATGCAGAAGCGTGCTGATCGCTACTACAACAACTGCACCCAAACGGAGCCATCATCGGACCCCATGGCTATCCTCCCTGGAGCCACCACCACCTCCGCTACCACTGGGACCCAGACCCAGACCCTGGCAGCGAATGGCACCAGGGATCATAGCACCAATACCATTGGCTGTCCCTCGCCGGCCCTTATTTGCCAGCAGCCGCATCTTCATCCCCATCCACCCTCGGCCAGCAGTAGCCCCAGCAGTACCGCCAATTCCACGCCAAACACCTCGCGTCCGAATTCCAAGCAAAGCGGCAGCGGTGCCCAAAGGCGTTCGCCGCTGGCGGTCAGTGGTGCTGGTGGTGGCACCACCTCCAAGCTGCCAATCTCACAGTCCGAGTCTACGCTGTCGCTGCTTAGTCACGGTCACGGGTCGTCCTCCAAGGAGGAGGCGCAGCTCCTCAGCTCGGTGCGGAGCATGCGCGTCGATTTGGCCATTAAAAATAAGGCAATGCAGCGCTTGACACGGGAATTGGATGACTGCAAGAAGACCATACGGAAGCTGCAGCGGGATAGGGAGGGAAGCGGCAGCTCCAGCCATACAGGTGAGTCCATAACCATTCCTAGAGCCATACCCCCTCTCCTCCTCCCTCTCTCTAATTTGGTTGTGTTTGTGTCACTCGGTCGCCGCCGATGGATGGCTTGGTAATTTATGGACTTTCTCTGCCCGGTCAGCAGCACGTACACTGGGCTCCACTCCCCACGCCCCACTCCCCACTCCTTCTTCCCCCTTCCTAGCTCCCTCCCTCCCTCCGGGGAGTTACCTGGCAGAGACGGCAAATAAATTGCTGGAATAAATCATTGTACGGCTGTCGACGGTGTCGGCCTTTTGACCACTTTTTGCACTCGTTTCAAACGGCAATTGCAGCGCAACTAAGCGGCTAAGCGGCCAATGGCCAAGACGACACAACAGCACACACAAACACGTTTCGGCTGAACGGCTGGCCAAGATGGAGCTTAACCCCTTGAGGTCTGAGAGTCAGACAGAGGCACAGCTCATGTTTTGAGTTTAGCAGGGTTATTTTTGAGAACTTCTTGGAGGTGTTTCTTATTTGCAAAAGATTTTTAATTGTAAAGGGAATTTTTTAAGGGAGTTTTTATTATATTTCTTATATATAAAGTTAAAGAAACGAATATTTTAGATATTCTTAAGGGATTTTATGATTTTAGTCAGTGAAAGAATCATTTCCGACCCTATAAACCATATATATTCTTGATCAGCACAATCAGCCGAGTCAATCTAGCCATTACTGGAAGAAAAAAATGTTTTGGCATTTTTTTTCGATTTTTTAAGAGCTTAAAATTCGTTAACAATTCCCCAAAAAAATGAAAAAATTTAGATTTCTTTTAATTTAAAATTCAGTATGCAGATTTGTTAATCTAGAAAAAAATAGCACGGAATCGCTTTCCGAATTAAATTTAATGCTTTTTTGGCTTAGATATGAATTTTTTAATTAATAAAAATACAATTTTAAATATATCAAAATATTAATTCATATAAAGTGAATATTTTAGATATTCTTGAGAGAGTTTTATGATTTTAGTTAGTGAAGGAATCATTTCCGACCCTATAAACCATATATATTCTTGATCATCACAAAAATCGGAGTTAATCTAGCCATTTCTTGAAGAAAAAAAATTTGCATTATTTTTTCGAAATTTTATAAGGGGTTACATCATTAAAAATGTAAAAAATTGGCTAAAAATTGAATTTAAAAAATAATTAAATGTAGTATGCAGTTTTCTTAACCTTAAAAAAACGAACTTGGAAAAGTTTTCCGAATTAAATTTAAATCATTTTTGGCCAAGTTATAGATTTTAAAAGTTTTTAATTTTCCTAAAAATTAAAAAAAAAAAAATACATTTTAAATTTTGTACATCGTTAAAATTATACGAAATTGGCCTATATAAATTCCAAAATTATTTGGTTAATATTGAATCTTCTCTTAACTTTAACAAAAAGTTCAAATTAATTTTTTTTTTAAATTTGCTCTATTAAAAAATGAACTTTAAAGCAAATGCAGCCTCTAGGGTTAAACCCAAATGGCCAGAAAACGAAACCGAATCCACAGAGAGTCCACAACACACACCGAGTGTTGTTGGAGACAGTCGGACAGCATATGGAGCTGGCTTTGGGGAGGAGGCAGACAGGGGCAGGTGGCAGAGGGAGGAGCTGGAGGGGCATCTCGGGCAGTTGGTTATGTCACCTGTGCGGTCTGACGCTTATGCCCGGTGTGTGTTGTGTGCTTGTTATTTATTTACCTTTTTGTCGATTCGGATTTGAATTTCTTGCCATCGAAAAAGAAAATTCGAAAGCGAAAGTCAAAGTCAAAGACGCGTTTGTTGTTTTGGGTTCGGTGGACGCTGCTGGATCAGGTCTTCTCTGCCAGCTCCAGCTCCAGCTCCACCTTCGCCTTTGCCTTAGCCTCTCCTTACACACAACACACGGGTTTTATAATGCCAGCTTGAAGTTTGACTGGCTGCTTATGGCCGCGTCTTCTGCGTATTTTTGTGGCTAATTAATGGGCCGTTGCTTCGTCGCTCAAATTTGTTAGTTTTTTGTTGTTCTTTTTGTTGTAGTTTTGTTGTATTTTTGTTGTATTTCTGTTGTGTCTTTAATAATTGTAAATGCCAAAAGCGGACGGCGCTTAAATAGACTTCATCAGCTTGTGTTTTAATTTCCAACCAGCGCGTGCGTGTAAAAAATGCAAAACGCTCTTCATAACTTTTTTTGGATTATGTAATTTGTCGTAGTTTTCTTTGTCCTAAAAATAAATTCGACCCAGACAAGCGGCGGCTCAATGAACTTGGGTTTATATAAGAAGATCTCAAAAAAGAGAACCTACAAAAGATAATCTTTTCTTCTTAGTAAGGTGAAGTATGGCTTTTAAATTGTTATTAATTTTTCCTTTGCAGGCAGCAAATTGGATCTCCGCTCCCAGGCCAGTGCCGTTTCTCTGCCCAGCGGCCGCCGATCCAGTGGCTACGATCATGGTCATCATCATCATTATAGTGACCACATACCAGCGGCCACAGAGAGTCAGGCCCTGAAGGAGGCCCAAAATAAGTATCGCCTCTTGGAGGCGGACTACAAGACGCTGCACGACAAGCGTCTGCAGGATGTGAGTCTTAACGACATGAATTAAATTTTATATATTTTATATAATTAATTACAATTATAATTACAGCTCAAGACCCTGCAGAGCGCCCATGAACGCGAGCTGGCCACCTGCAATGAGACTGTGCGCATCCTCCAGCAGCGCCTCAACGAGCGCGAGGAGGCCTTTGCCACCCAAAGGCGACGCAAGGTGCCGGTGGACTACTATGCGCTGAAAGCCAAGGTACAAATGCCAACAAAACCCAGCTCCTATGAATCAAAAAAACACTGAGAATCGAAAGTGGAGGTTGGATTTTGCGGGCAAAACATCAAATGACTACTGTAACTTTCCAATATATGTATAAACTTCTCTGGAACGCGGTTCCCTTTCTTTGTTCTTGTTTTCTCATCCCAAAAAACAAAAGGTATCCCTGCTGGAGCGCAGGCACTCGGAGCGAGAGGAGCGACTACACATGCTGGTGGAGGCCCTGAGCAAGGGCAGGCTCAATGGGGCTCTCGAGGATCTGCTGCAGGAGAACAACAACAAGTAGCGGGTGGAGAGTGCAGAAGAGAGAGATTAGTTTTAAGTCACATTGCCAGCCAAAAAGAAGAAAAAATTCGTCTAGAGTCCGTCTAAGCAGAAGAAACATCCAATGATATTTAGGAATTTTAACCAAGGAAAGGAGAGTCTGCCTCGGGTTAGAGGGCAGCTTCAGGCAAGCTTCTCTTTCATTAAACAAATTCAACAAAATAATGTGTTCAAGGAAAGCAAACAATAACTAAATCCAACACAATTAGCATAGGTTTAAGAGCTATTTTCCCTGCGCCTGGAGCTGCAATCTAAACTGATGGAAAGGGATATTTACTTACAGGCAACAGGATAATGGGATGCACGTTATTGTAGTTCTTAGCGCCGAACGTATTTGTATTTATAAAACTATCAATGTTTCGATGTAGAAATTGAATTGTTCGTTCACACAACTGGGAAAGAAAGAGACAGACAGACAGACAGAGAGAGAGAGAGAGCGAGAGAGAAAGAAAGAGTTTTAAAGCGAAAAAGAAAGAGAAGTATTAGAGACCGCGAAAAAGACAGAAACAAATGGTGACTTGGTGACAGGAAAGCGAGTTGTACTTAGACCTAAGGCTCTTGAAATGTATATAGAATATATATGTAGAATATATATTCGCAGCGATCTCAACTTGAATATTATATATTTGATTTAGAGTAACAAGCCCAAAATTTTTTTTACCTTGCCCTGAAAACTAAATATTATTATTATTATTATTGTGTGTGTGTGTTTTTAAGGTAGAAAACTTTGAAAAAGTTGATAAAGAAAGGCAACAACGGGGTCCGTAGATAAATGGTTATATTTTTTACTTATTATATTGATTTCTTCAAATTTTGTTATTAAAATGTAGCTATTTTTTAATGAATGTATAACAAGTTCCCTAAATGAAGGGGAATAAAATAGAAAAAATATAATTCAGTTAAAAATGCTGCAAAAATTAAATGTTTTATAAATTTGTTATTTAAAAAATATATATTTCACACTCCCTGATTAAATTGTAAACAAGAAATAGAAAGAAATAATGTCTGCAAACATTTGGAGCAGTTAAAAAATTACCAAAAAATAACTACGGTCCCCGTTAAATTAAGCAAGAAAAATAAAATAAAAAATAGCTTAGAAATTAGAACCTTTTCGAAAAAAAACTGTAACCCAAGCAGGCGAAATAAGACCTAAGAAAAAACTCAAGAGAAAAAATAAACCAAATAAACATTCACAGTATTCCGAAACACACAAAATCCCTTACTTTAAGTGTTTATATATTTATCTTAGACAACTTGCGATTACCTTGGGAGGTATTCCTTGTGTCGAGATCTTTCCCAAACCCAGTTTGTGGCAAATATCAGGACCATTGGTATTATGGTTTTTTGTGTAATATTACCCATTTTTTTTTGTGTGATTCAAAAAACGAAACAAAGTTCAACTTTGAGCGCTCATATCTTCTACAAAAAAATTCCTAAAATTATTTTGATTGGAAAATTTCCTGTTGTTTCTGCCTCTTTTAATTCCCCAAAATCATTACCATTTGTTATTATTTATTTGTGGAATTTTGTAAGCGCCCTACAAGATTTACCACCATTTACCACCATTTATAAAATCCAAAAACCTTGTTTTATGCTTGATTAATATATAGGATTACAGTTTATAGTTTTATTAATATTTTTGTAACATTTAAATGGATGGATAACTGCCGGTATGTCGGGCGATCATCAATCATCCCCATAAACGAACATTAAATATCATATGTGCTTCTTGTATCGTGCATTTAGCATTTAGCATTTAACATTTAACATTATTCGGATTACGTACTTATTCCACGTTGGGTTCCGAGTGTAAGTTGCATACACATATTATATATACGGGTAGAGATTATCCCTATGGATAGACGAGTAAGAGAAGAAGCTGCTCAAATCCTTCAGCTCCATGACAATACGATCCCAAACAACAGCAACATTTAACTGGCTAAGTTAACAGTGATTACGTTTACGGATACAGAGTGCCATTTTGGCTAATACGATACGGATATAACAATATATATGTATATAGATGGCAAAGTGTCTGATGATACTTGTTATTGGCGATATTCTTAGTTTTTTAAATTTAAGTAGGTAAAGTCCTTCTGCAGCCTCCTTTAGGATCCAATTTCCAAAAGTTCTTGGTTTGTTTCGAGCTGTAATCCCTCCAAACGCCGGCTCCGAGGCTAACCGGAGGAAGTGGACTGGCCTGCTCTGCGGCCGGAAACTCCTCAACTGACAGCTCCGCAGGCAGCTGTATGAGGCTTTTATAGGGCAGGACTACAGTCTAGTTGGGAAGCCGCAGATGGCCAATTTTACACCCTGATGGCCATCTAAGACGTTTCAGTTTCATTTATTCGGTTAGATCCTTTGTTCGGTGCACTCTAATTTGATTTTGATTGAATTGCGCTTATCGCAGTTGTGCACTCGTTTGGCGGAAAAGTACATGTGGCTGACGTCACAGAGGAAAGCTGTTTAACGAGCTACAGCAAATCGATTTCTTACTTCGTTTGCTTTTATTTTATTCTATTTTACTTCACTTCACTTCACTTCACTTTACATTATTTCATTTTATTTTATTTATGGCTTATATACAAGACGTTCCTTTGGTGACGTCACGGGCCTGACAAATTTCATTCATGGAAAACAGGAGCATCAGGAGCGGTCGCGCATTAGGCTCACACTCGAATGGACTGCAGAGTCTGCGCCTGCCTCGAACTTGGCTCTGGTGCAATGGTGCACATGTGCGATAAGCGGAATTCAATCAATCAGCCGCAAATTGTGAGCAGGAAGTGCCGTCGCTGTCGTCGTCCTTGTCGTGGGCGGTATCGAAATCAGGGCTATAAAAGCCTTGGCTTTCTTCTGGCCAACTCATTCAAGTTGCAAAGCCTGCTGGTGAGACAGCAGCGGACTGAATCTTGGAGCGATTTTCTGTACCTGAAGACCAACACACGCCACCTGAACCACTGAAGAAGATGAGGCTCCGACTCAACGTCCTGCTCTTGCTGCTCCACATCGGCTGTCTGTCTGTGGCCTTCGCCAGTAGCAGGCTCTATGGCGACGCCAGCAGTTCAAGCTGTGATGGCCGCCGCTGGGATGTCCATCATCGCCTGGACGAGTACGACGAGCATATGGTCTACAGACAGGTTCCCCCATTGGAGTCGCTGGCCCGCGATGATCGTCGAAGCGAGAGGAGCGAGGAAACGAGGGTCCGGTTGGCGTCATCTCCAAGGGAGGAGACGCCTCGTTACGCTCATGTGGATCGAGTAGATCTGCGTGAAGCTCGTAAGGAACGGGACGAAGAACGTCGTGAATTCCGTGAAGTACGAGATGAGCGCCGGGAAGCCCGTGAGATGCGAGATGAGCGCCGGGAAGCCCGTGAGATGCGGGATGAACGTCGTGAAGCTCGAGAGGAACGAGATGAACGTCGTGAAGCTCGAGAGGAACGAGATGAACGTCGTGAAGACCGTGCGGTGCGAGATGAACGACGTGAAGCTCGAGAGGATCAGGATGAACGTCGTGAAATTCGTGAGGATCGAGCTGAACGCCATGAAGCCCGTGAGGTACTAGGTGAACGTGGTGATGCTCGACGTGAAAGTCGTCAATCCCATGAAACTCTTGAGGAACGTCGTGTTCGTGAGGAACGGCCAGATCAACGTGATATCCGTGAGGTACGAAATGAACGCCGTGAAGCTCGTCAGGAACGGGATAATCGTCGTGATGATCGGGAGGAGTTGACAGAGCGGCGCGAAACTCGTAAAGAGCAATCTGAACGCCAAATTGGCCGAGAGGCCCGTACAGAACGCAATACAGAACGAGACACAAGCATGCGCCAGGAGGAAAATCGTATTGAAGCTGTCAATGAAAGGCGTGAGGCTCGAAGCGAAGACCGAGAATCATCTAGACGTGAGGATAGAGAAAACCGACAGCGAGAGGAAAGGGAATCCGAACGACGAGTAGAACGTGTCAACCAATATCGTCGTGCAGATCGATTGTCTTCCAAACGCGAAGAGCGTGAGACTCGGGAGCGATTTGAAGTCCGATCTGCAGATTATATAAGAGGAGAGCGAGAGGAAATCAGAACGGAAGAACGCGATAATGCTCGACGAGAAGAACGAGAGGATCGTCTCAGGGAAGAACGAGATTTAGCCCGGCATGAGGAAAATCGCAGGATGGAGAAACGCGTAGATATCCCACAAGAAGAGCGATTATCCTTTCGCCGAGTGGAACGAAACGAAATTCGTCGAGAGGAGCGTGCAGAACGTGGGCGAGTTGAGGCTGAACGTAGGGAACAGTCCCTGGATAGGGACATGAATCGACTGGAGGACCGTAGCGAGCGGAGAGAGACACGCAATGTCGATAGAAGGGAACAGCAGCGAGTGGAACGTGAAAATCTGAGGAGACAGGAACGAAAAGATGCTCGTCAAGTACAGGATGATATTGTGGAAAGGGAAGAGCGAGAGGCTCGAAGGAATGCGGATCGAGATGAAGATAGGGATTCCATTCGTCAAATCAAGCGTGATAATCTTCAAAGGGATAATCGGGAAAATCTCCGACGTGAGGCTCGAGATGAGCGAGAGAATCTGCGCAGGGAAGAACGAGGCCAAACCCGGGAGAGTCTCCGGAGGCAGGCTGCAGAATCACACCGCCGGATCGATCAAGCAGATCGTCGTAGAGAAGAGCGTGAAAATCAGCAAGAAGATCTTAGGAGAGAAAACCGACGAGAAAGCCTGCGGAGGGAAGGTCGTGAAGCTCAACGAGAAGAGCTTAGGAGACAAGAGCGAGAAGCTCAGCGGCGCGATGAGAGAGATCAAGAGCAGCGAGTCCGTCGAATGAATAGCATTACTACGAGCCTGGAACGCGAGCTCCCCCAGGTGAAAGCCAAGGGCTGGCTGAGCTATGGAAAACGGGAAATACTGATGACCAGCCAGATCCTGCTCCTGGCCGCTCTCTACAAGAAATCCACGGCCAACGGCAAGGGGCTCGGGTGAGTAAATATCAATTTCAGGCCAAAGATGATACCCAAAACCTAATAATGCCTTCCTTCCAGAAATGCTCTAAACGAGCAGATCCAGGGCTATCTGCAGGCCATCGGCTGCTGAAGAGGAGGAGATGAGGTTTAACCGCGAAAAGAGACCCAGAACGGAGATGGATACGGCACGAAATGAACCAAAGGAAAAGGCAAAAGGACCCGGAGAACCCGAAAACCGAAACCAAAAATGAGAGAGCGAACGGTGAGGATGGGACAGGATGCGAATGCGGATGCGGAAGCGGAAGCGGATGTGGCGCAGTCGAGGAGTGAAGGCATCGTCTCCGCCCCAGCATCGTACAATTTAATCCAACTGTTACTGTAACCAAAACCCCTTTCTGTTAGCCAAAACAAGAGCATATAACGAAAATATATATCTGCAACTGCATGGCCAGCCGTGAGTTTCGATTTCTCGAAGCCAGCCCAGAAGTCCCGCCAGATTCCCGGCTCCTGTGGTCGAGGTGGCCCTCGGATAATTGGAGCGTTTCGCAGGCAAGAGACCGCAGCTGTCCACTCACATGCCTGGGCATCCCTATATCCTTGCATCCTTGAGCAGCCAGAGCTGCCACCCACAAAGCCACCTTGCTCACTTGCTGCCGCTCCTTTTGGATGCCACAGAAACCTAACCCGAACCGAACCAAAACCGAAGCTGAAAGGCAAAATTATTATTGCGATTTTCCATGCCGTTTGCCTTCGTCCTTGCAGCTCGTCCTGCTCCTGCTCCTGCTCCTACTCCTACTCCTCCTTCACTTGAGTGTGTGTATCGAGGCTGATAAATTTCGCACATATTAGATGTTGGTCTGGTCTATTCATCTTTTTGGCTTTCAAGAGATTTCCCCTGATGGTGGGGGGCCGCCGGCCGGAATGGCGGCAGTTTCAGACCAGTTTCTGTTAAGTTTTTTTCCGGGGGGAAAGGGGAGTCTGGAGGCTGGAGACTGGGCCCGACAACCAGCCAGTAAGCCATCCTTAATCAGTGAAACCAACACACAAATTTTACACAATTTTCATCCTTTGGGGATTATTCGAATGGGTGTGTGTGAGTGTGTGCCCTTTTCCTGAAATGGAAATGGGACTGATACTGGTCCTGGTTCTGGTGCTGCCACTGCTGGCAAGACCTCCTTGTCTGAGCTGGATCCGAGTCGCCTTAGTTACTCTTCGGCAAACAAAAACCGAAACAGAGACGAGCCTGTGTATTGTAAACCATTTTGGTAGCCAGGAGATGGGTACATGAATGTCCAGAAATATGCAGCTTGGTTTTATGTTTTTTGTGAACATAATTTTAATTGTAAATTATTTGAAAAATTTAAAACTGTAATTATTAAGAAAAGAGAAATGCTGAAGCTGCCTAAGTTATGTCTATATAAAAATGTATAATGACATTTTATTCAGAACCCATAACCCTTCCAATTTATGAATGCATCAAGGGGGAAAAAAAGAGGAAAATCCAGTGGATTTCCATATTTCTCTCTCTCTCTCTCTCTCTGAGTTTATTCATAGGGATTTTCACGAAGGATTTAAATTCAATGCGATTTCTTTTATTTATTTTTTTCTTTCCTTATTTTTTTTGTTGCTTTTTTTTTGGCCACGGAAGTGTGAAATATCAATACGCAATGTCCCCACACACAATACACACACAGACACAGACACACATTCCAGTGGCGTGCATAAAGGGGACACTGAAAGGAGAGGGAGCGCCCCACAAAAGAGCAATAAACCAACAAGAAAACATCATAAAAAATTGAGTTTTCAATATTTATACGAATTAAATAATTCACGCCAAGACCAGGCTACCATTTCGATGCACAGAGAAGGATACATGTAGGCCCACAGTGCTGAGCAATAATTGTGTTTCATTTAAAACAAAATAATATAAATATAATAATTTAAATTTAAAAAATAAATATTTTAAATTAAATGACTTATGTTTATTATAATGTATTGATAATTTTGTTAATTTGTTAATTTATAGTTATAGTATACAATTGTTTACTTCCAATGTCCAAAATAAATTCATAAGATTTAATTTTTCTATAGGCTTCTAAAATACTTATTAAATTTATAAATATTTATAAAAATGTAATATTTTAACCAGGAACCTTAAATAATGATTACCAATGTTTTCTTTATGGATTTTTATATATTAAACCTATTTTTATTATTTATTAAAAATAAAAAAGCAAAATATTTATAATTTTTTAAGCGCAATTTTGGACGAACAAATAATCATCATGTTTTTAGTTTTTATTTTTTTCTCTCAACATATTTATAAATAAGAAAAAAAAAAAAATTATAATTACTATTAATAAAAAAAATATATTATAATCAATAGATAATCATTAAACATCGATTACGTGCTTTGATTAAATCTATAAATATTTATAAATATTAAAAATTTTAACCAAAAAATATAAACAAATATATATAACTAACCATCACTGGCTAGACAAGGCGGAAGAGCTCTCCGAAAAAAAAACAAACAAGAAGTTCCCACTGCAAAACCCTACTCCTTCTCGGGATTTTTCCCGCAGGATGGCGACTGTGGTTTATAGGAACGAAGGAAAGTGGCAGTGGAGTTGGGCATTTTATGAGTATTTGAGGTTTATTTTATGCCCCCACCCCACCCCACCCACCACACGCACACACACACATACACACAGCCCGGAATGCAAAACAACATAAATTTTGTGTCAGAAATCATAAATTTCAATAAAATAAAAGCAGCGAAGCGCCAAATAAATACGTGTGGGGATGAATGTTACGGTTTGGGAATTTTTTTTTAAAGGGGCATTACATGCCCACACATACCATTAGGAAAATAATAGTACTTAAAATGTATTTACATAAGGTAAAAGAACTCACAAATGAAAAGTAACAGAAATCAGAAACTATAAAAATATGCGAGGTAAAATAATACAAAAAATGTTTAATTAAATATTGAAAAAACATTTAAGCTTCATTTTAAAACATTTTTATGCTTTATTATATTTATTTGTATTATTTTCTAAGGAAAATTGTATTATAAAGATATAAAAAACTCATTTAAGCGACACATTTTCTCCAGAATCTTTTAATTTTCCCACAGAATATTTGTTTTCTTTATAAAATATCTTTTAAATCTATAAAAATGTTACATTTTTAAAATTTTGAAACCCTTTCCCTAGCATTTTGACCACTGCTGTAGGTATATGCTGGCTGCACGCTTCACTTGGCTAAGTAAAAGCAACAGCCAAGTGCAAAATATATATTTATGTATATATTTTCTTTAAAACGCGGCAGGGCGAGAGAAACAAAATAAAAGGATGGAGTAGTCCTTGGACTAGTGTGTGTGTGTGTGTGTGTGTGTGTGCTCTGCATAATTTAATGTACGACTAGGGAGGGGGAGGGGCAGGCCATGGCCCCGCCATAAAGTGGCCACCATGGCAGGCAAGGGCAGCCACAGGATGCTTTCTATCAAGGTAACGGCCGAAACTTGAGAAATATTTCATGAGGCCAACGCGGCAACACACACACTCTGGCTTCTATATATGTATACTTTTTTCTCACTTTGTTGTATTTTTTAATATTTTATTTTTCAACATTTTTCTTGCCTTTCCCTCGCTTTCCTTGCCATTTGCCAGCAATTTTATAAATTATCAATTTCACTCGCCGCGCCAGAAAGGCTAAAAAGCAAAGCAGCGGCAGGGAAATAAATAAATGCAATAAGTGAAGGCAAATGGAAAATTGTGAAATTGGGGAAAATTGGAAAACCGCAGAAATTGCAATCGAAAATCCCCGCCACAAGTTTTGCCATTAAATGTCAATCGAAACCGGGCGACCCCCGAGCGAAATGTGCAGTTAAATAAAAATCAAAGCGGTTTACGTTATCAGCCAGCGTTTTCCACCAAAAAGCGGAGGCGAAGAGAAGAAGTTGCGTTGACAGAATTTTCCTACGCTTCCCTGGCTTTCCCACAGCCCGGAGGGGGGTGGCGGTACTGCATCTGCATTTGGTTGGGGCTGGCCCAATGCGAAATTGGTTTATGCAACAGACTTTTATGGTGCAGATCAGGAGACGAGACGAGACGAGCGAGCGAGCGAGCGCCGAGCATTTGCCAAATGCCAAACTCAGAGTGACGGAGCCAGGGATTTTCTAAATGTGTCAGGTTTGGGATGTGCAGTGAGAGAAATTGGGGTAATTTGAGGGTCTATTTTAAAGGTATTTTTCGATGAGAATGTAAGACACTTTATTTAGTCCGAATAGTATTTTTAAAAATTTCCCAAGTGGGTTTGGGGTTCGTTAAAAAATATTAAAAAATGTATAACTAAATTTTAGAGATATATATTTTTATATTTTTAAAAAATATCGACAATCGAAAATAGAATTCACAAAAGAAATGTTACAGAAACCAGAAACTATGAATATTTACAAGGTAAATTAATAACAAAATTTTTAATTAAATTAGTTACATTATTAAAAAGTTTTTTAGATTCATTTTATATAATTTTGTTTTTTACAATCTTTTAAGAAAGCATTTAAATATTTTTAAATTTAAACTTGTATTGTGAATGATCAAAAATTCCATATAATCCCTAAAAAAATTCTTAATATAATATACTTTAATCAGAATATTATTTTTAAATTTTGCTAAGGTTATGGGGTTCTTTAAAAAATCTAAAAAAATTGTTTGGTGTTTTTATATATATGTTTTAAATTATCGACTTTTATCGAAAATAGAAGCTTTAATTTATATTTTGCTGCATATATATTTTGTAATAATTAATTTCAGCGTGTTTAATTTATTTCTGCCAGTGTAAAACGGCTTAGAGGACCGGGGACCTCACCGTGGCAGGGGGGCAATGCCAGCATCAATCGCAGTTGTGCAAATAAATTTGCCGTTCACGTACATGAAAGCCGCTTGCACAAGCATGCAATCATCCTCAAATATTGTCCCAATCCCAATTGCAGCCCGTCTCCTGGATGTCCTGGCTGCCTGGCAGCCTGGATGACGCTGCAATTGAGGACTCTCGGATTCGGATTCGGATTCCGATTTGGTTTTGGATAGGCGCAGGAGGCAGTCTCCGTTCGCCAGCCTCTACCTCTTACCTGCTCGATGGCCGCAAAATATATACCAATGATGACATTGCTCTGTGAGCTGAGTTTTATGGGATTTCAGATATTTATAGATTGCAAGTGGCATCGAAATGGATCCTCCTCCCCTCCCCCCTCATCTGTGCCCAGCGGAGCATAAAAAATTGCTGCACTCAGAGAGATGTTTGGGGCGGAGGAGGAGGCGGTGCACCCTAAACGATGGCAGGCAAAGTCAATTTAGTGAAAATGCGAGGCAGCAAGTGAAATGTCATAGCAGCAGCCAGCCAGTCCACCTACAACATATATATACATATATATTTCCA